ATATTATGTTCGACTCGAGTATAAGATGTAATAAAAAGTATCTAATATTATGATTGCATTTTACTCCTGTTAAATCTGAGTAGTGGTGATATGGTTAATTCTTACCGTGAATATCTTTAGATTTGTAAATTATCAGAATAAACGGGTTTGGTCCATCAAGGCAAACTATCTCTGTTTCAAGTCTTTCCGCATAGTCAAATGTCTGAAAGTGTTGATTTTCTGTGATTTTTTTTTTTTGCTTTCTCTACAGGTTTTACGCATCAGAAGTAGTGGTGGCGTTGGAGTACCTTCACATGTTGGGAATCGTATACCGCGACCTGAAGCCGGAGAACGTCCTCGTCCGTGCCGACGGCCACATAATGCTCACCGATTTCGACCTCTCCTTAAAATGCGACGACACCGTTTCAACCCCGCTAGTAATCCTCTCCACCCAAAACCCGCCGGCCGGAGTCGCATTACTTCCCAACAACAAAGCCGAATTCGCCGCCGCCGATCACCGCCCAAATTTCACTTCCTCCTCGTGCATCCTCCCCAACTGCATGGTCCCCGCCGTCTCCTGCTTCCACCCAAAACGCAAGCGAAAGAAGAAGACAAGCCCACGGGCCGGGCCCGAATTCGTCGCCGAGCCCGTCGACGTCCGGTCCATGTCGTTCGTCGGCACCCACGAGTACCTGGCGCCGGAGATCGTGTCCGGGGAAGGACACGGCAGCGCGGTGGACTGGTGGACGCTGGGTATATTCATGTACGAGATGGTCTACGGCGTGACGCCATTCAAAGGCATGGACCACGAGCTGACGCTGGCGAACATTGTGGCTCGGGCGCTGGAGTTCCCCAAGGAGCCCGCCGTGCCGGCGGCGGCGAAGGACCTGATTTCGCAGCTGCTGGCGAAGGATCCGGCGAGGAGGTTGGGGTCGACGATGGGTGCGTCGGCGATTAAGCACCACGCGTTTTTCCAAGGGGTGAATTGGGCTTTGTTGAGGTGCACGAAACCGCCGTATGTGCCGCCGCCGTTTAGTAGGGATGTTGTGTCCGACGATAGTTGCCCCGAGACCCCAGTTGAGTATTATTAATCGAATAATCATAAGTAATGTGTAAAAATTATTAGGAGGAAAAATTGGCTAGAGGAAAGGAAATGAAAATTCCCCACTGCGTATATTCTCGTTGGTCGATTCCGGTGTTCATTTCTCTTTCAATTTGTTCTTGTTCTAGCGGTATATATTTGCAATGGTTGTAAAGATGGAGAAGATGTTATAGTGGAGTGGAAGGGTTGGTTTTGAAACCATAAGGTAAAGACTGAAGAGTGTAATACAAAAGCGCACGTTTGAAGCAATGGCAGATCACATGCAGTTAGTTAGAACTTAGAACTACGTGTAAAACTTCTCGTAAATTTGAAAGATCGAAAGAATGTGAAGAAGGATGAAATTCGCTTTTTTTTTTTTTTACAGTAAGAATAATCTTTTATTCCATCACCAGTATAAAGAAATCGGTTACAAATCTCAAAGGAGATCATAAATTAGATCAAGAACACTAAATTAGTTAACTGGGAGAGAAGATTTAGCAAGAGATCGCGCAACCCAATATGCTCTGACATTACAATTACGCGACACAGCGTTGACCTTGATTTGAGGGTTTGCTCTAAGGATTGAAACCATTGATCCAATCCCGGCTGCTCCTCGCCATGGCCAATATCGAGGTTCTTGTTTAAGAGCTTTAACTAACGTCTGGCAGTCAGACTGGACAACACATTCAGTGCCATATTCTTGAGCTAATTTGAGACCTTCCAAGAGAGCTTTTGTTTCGGCTTCGAACGGGGTGGAACAAAGGAGGGTGTCAGCTCGCCCGTCACACACTTGCCCATGGTGGTTAATGACAACAACACCATATGCCGCCGGCTGGGAGTCGTTTAGGAACGACCCATCACAGTGAATCACAAAATTATGATTGCTTGGCGGTGGAGAGATGAGTGAGTGGGCTCCCCTGAGCTGAGTAGAAGGCGAGTTAAGGGGGGGGGGGGCCTTGGACACGTCGTCCATTCAGTAAAATCCTTGTATGTTCTCATAATTACATTCGAATGCCAAGGGATCCGATTCTTGAACACACACTCATTTCTTGCCTTCCAAATATTCCAGCTTAGGAAGATAACATGGGCCATGGCTCCTAGGAGGATAACATCCTTGATAAAGTACAACCAATCAAGGAAGGCAGTAGACTGAGCCGACAAAGGGAGGGAAGGGAAGATAGCATTCCAAGATTCTCTTGCGTGGTCACACAAGAAAAGACAGTGAAGGAGGGACTCAATGGGGCATTGGCACACTTAACACGTTGAGCTAGGAGAGCAATTCCTCTTAAAAAGTTTATCTTTTGTAGCAAGACCGTTCTTTGAGCACCTGCAAATGAAGAACTTAAGCTTTGGAGGGATATCTAGGTTCCACATCCATTTCCATTTTTCCACATTGTCCATCGTCTGGGGTTCCGTTGAAGATAAGTGCACCGCATGGTATGCCGTTTTAACAGTGAAGTTTCCGTTCTCATTCAATTTCCAAGCCCAGAAATCCTTAGAATCCATCTCCCCAATGGGAATTTTCAATATAGCGTCCATCTCGGAAGTAGACACCTGCCCTCGAATCAGTTCATTATTCCACTTCCTCCCCTCCTGATCGATCCATGAAATGACTCGAATATGGTTTTGAGGTCCACTATGAATGCTCGCCTTGGGAAGGTAGGGAACCCAAGGGTCTTGATCGATCCATGACTCATCTCCTGACCCAATCACTCTCACTGCTTCCAGATCGATGACTTTTTTGGATTCCCAGAGGCTAGCCCAGATCCATGACGGTTTGCTCCTTTTTTTGCCGCGAGGAAGTTCCCTCTTGGAAAGTAGAGTCCTTTGAGAAGTCGACTCCAAAGAGCATCAGGGTTGGTCAGAAGGATGGAATTCGCTTAGTGTGAAAGGTTTTGGAACTTGTTTGTTCTTTTGTGTCAGCCTTTGCTTATTTTGTTGCTTGTTGAGAGTAGAGGACTCTTTCCAATGATCAACACAATAGGGATCTGCTCCAACATCCTCCGCTGCAATCTACTTAACGGTTTTCCCCCGTATTTTACGGCTCTTGAAAGTCTCATTTGCTAAGAGTTTGTTAATATCCTCTTTATCGTAATTATCATGGTTTGAATTCTTTCAACTTAGTTGTTTGACATTCTTCCACTTAGGTTTCTGACTTCGTCAATGATCCGATGATCAAGTACGATAAGTTTAACTAAATAAGTTGATGAGATCTTGGAGAATGATGGTGGGAATTGTATTTATTTCATCTGATTCGTTGTTTAGTAAATTACGGGATTGTTTGCTTGATGGATTTGGTGATGGATTTGGGTCTATCATGGACTTTGTCCAAACTTCATTGTATTTTGTGGCAACAAATCCGTGGGTCTGAAAATTCCACCTTTTTAGGTGAGACTTGATCATGGATTTTAAAGTCCATCATTTATGACCAAACTAACCCTTCTATTATCTTTCTCATCTAATACCAGTGAGCGCAATATAGGTCGTTTTCACCTCATGCACACAAATCTAATTAACCAAACCCATCACGAAATTAATAAAAACAAACAATGGTATTCTACAAGTCCACAATGAACCGAAAACTTTCATATATCCACGATTTTACAAACTCAAGTTTTACCAAAACCTTCATTTTTTTCAAATACATGAAGCAAACCACCCGCGTACAAGTTCATCGAGATGTAGTGGGTCAATTGAAACGTACAACCAACTATGTTGTGCCAAACTCACTTGAAAGTAAAGTTTCAAGCAATTTGTAAGTGGTAAATGATTATTGTTAGATCTCAAATACTGAATTCAAACGTGTTGGATATTATCGTCATCGTTACATCACCACTCAGTCACCCCTTTCAATTTCCCATTAGTTGATAAGCAATTCCATAGTGAGTTTGTAAGTCAGCCTGCAGACAGTTTGATTATTCAATCACAGCCATAAAAGAGCGAGAGCGATGGGGGAAGAAAAAGCCGGTGAGGATGGTGGCTGTCGGGGGCCGGACATCAACAACGGACCGGCGGCCGGGAAGAAAAATTGGAGAGTTTGTGTGTGGGTTTATTCGTTTTGTTGGTAATTAAGAGCGTCGCAAAAAGTCCACCGCCCCATGTGAATTGAATTAAATGGGGAGATCTTAGGGATGGCAATTTCGACATGACTCGATTTATCCGACCTGTTTGACCTGTTTTGGGGCGGGTCAAACCCGCCCCGTAGGCAGGGCGGAGCGGGCATGGGTACCTCTCATCGACCCGACCTGCCCTGACCCGCCCCATTCTCGACCCGTTCTTGCCTAAATTACATATAATATTAGTCAAATTACTTAAAATTTTCCTCTTATCACATTATATTTTAGCTATAATAAAGTTGTAAATAAGTGAAAACCTCAATTTCTTCAATAATTTAACTACATTTTATCATATTATGGTTTCTTTCTTGGTCTTTCAATGAAAAGAACGAATATTTCTACTGTTTTTCACATAAATTACATACCCAATGGGTCGACCTGCCCCGACCCGCGTCCCGTGATAAATTACCCGACCTGCCATGGGACGGGTATGAATATCGAGATACCCGCCCCGAACCTGCCCATTGCAGATCTGTGCGTGGAGGCAACAAAATCTTCTAATGAGTGTGAGGTTCAGGAATAATGAAATATCATCGACTCATCATTCGTGTTTTCTTATTAGTTGTTCGGTTCCTTTCATTTTTTTGGGGTGTTTTTTTGGCTCTATTAGGAGAAATTAAGGAGAATCACGTCATGGTGTCTGCTGAATGCTACTGATGTTTTCATATCTGACTCTCTATGTATCCATCAAAGGTTTCAACAAAGAGGTATGGGTAGGACTCAAAGGGTTGGAGTTAGCATATGGGACATTGGCTCGTTCATGAATTCCAACAAGTCCACAACAAAACATATATACTAGTCTTGTATTAAACATTTTCAAGTTTTCTAACATGGTAGTTGAGAGGTCCGACTCATTCGTTTAGCAAAATGCTAACTACTTAGTTTTATTGTTCAGAACGTAAGAACACCCTTTACCATTTGAAAAATCATGTTGTTGATGCGAACACGAGTGCGTGATCTGGTGTAATTATTACTGATTTTCAACTTGGGGGTTTTACACTCAAATAACCTGATTATCATAACAATACAAGCGAACTGATGTTACCCATACAAAACAACCATGTTATTGAATTTTTTGATTCTATTATTTGTCATTAGCAAGTGTATTCACAATCCACTCGTTTTTTATTGGGTTGTTTGGCGACCAGGTATTGTAGATTACTTGAACTTTTAACACATCATGTGTTTTGTAGTTAAGGTTGTGAGAATTCATGTAACAATATGGCCTAGTCCTTAGTCCCAACAACTAGGCGTGTGGAACGGTTTGGTCCATACCAAACCGCATCAAACCAAAACAATGCTTAAATCGGATCACACCGAACCAAATATAATATGGTCTAGTCCTTAGTCCTTAGTCTCATGTAACTTATATGATTCTAGATCCTACTATATCTTTCACAATCGAACTGTGGATTACTGGATTTCATGAAGAGTATGAAAGGACCAAACCGTTGCACACCCGACAAGAAAATTACATTCCCATTAGATGGGACTATTGGGCCCTCTTTTCTCCGTAACCCCTCGTCGCAAGCCCAGTCCAATTCCCCGTTTCTTCGACCCTTTAACTTTGTGTATGGGCTAGCGGCCCAATCTACTTTCACAATGTCGTTGACGTAGCCGGGAATAAATGTGAAGTTTGGTCATGGAACTCTTGGGTATGGTTCAGTTGGGCGCTCAAATTATGTGTGAAAGTATATCAAACTTACTTGACATGACAACTATCTAATCGAAGGCATTCTAATTGTCAAAGCAGGATCACAATCTTAATAAGTGTGGGATATGACACCTGAAGACTCATCACTTGTCATCTAACTCTTATTAGGTTGTAGTGTAAGTCGAAAATAAGTATCTCTATAAAAATTATTTCGACAAATGTTTATGTGTCAGATTATCGATTGTGACACATATAAGTGACATTGAGATGCTATTGTATAGTCGATATAGTAGACAAAAAAAATTCAAATCCGTGACAAAGTATTCCAAACTTGTGTGTCGAGTTGCCAACTAACTTTCTCCTCTTGGTTATATACTAACATTTTTCTGTGTGTTTATATATATAGTAGTTATCGCAACCATATTTTTCACGTTTCCCAAGAAATTGTAAGATCATAGTTACGTGAATACGGAGTATCTTGTTCATTCATAAGATTATATTTTATAGTGCAATGTCAACCATTTATGCAAAACACAATAGTTTGATGACCAATTATGCATTGAAAAGCTGAAGGAGGTCCTAAAGGTAAATGTTTATTTAACTTCAAAAAGATGCCCCGACAAGTTACGGCGGCCGGTGCTTATTAGCAAGTAGCAACTTCCGGCAGCTTGAAGCTTAAAATCCTCCACAATCACAATTCACAAGTCCCGCGCTAAAAAAAAAAAGACTTCAGAATCACAGTCGTTCGATCTCCTCTCTTCTGCTCCTTCGCCGGACCTCTCTCACTCTCACCGCCCTCCTTCCTCCGTCTCGCCGTAGGTTTCAGCAACAATGGAGGAGCCACAAAACGGGAACTCAAACGACCACTCGGAGGCCCCGCCGGAGACCGAGGAGCCTGCCGTCGGCCCTGCACCGCCTCCTAAGGCTCGCACCAAGCGTCCACTCCAGTTTGAGCATGCCTACCTCGACGCCCTTCCCTCTGCAAATATGTATGCAATGCCTGCTTCTCCCTTCTTTTATGCTCATCTTCGCCCTACGGGTTGTTATTTTAGGGTTTAGGTTTCTTCAGAGCGTAGCATAGCTTCCCAATTCTGCGGGAAATGATAAAGAATACTGAATACTAGAACTTATTCGTTAGTGCTTGTGCCACTATGGTAGTGGAATTAGAGCTCTAATTTTGAAGCTGTAGATGTTTTTGGGATTTGTTTTGTTGCTTGATATGTAGGAATTATCTTTCACTGTGGTTAAATTCGAGTAGAGCAAGGAGATGATCGTAACAGGTTATACATTGGCGTCAAATGGTTGTTCTGTTTGCCCTTTCCTTTATACGATTTCCACGCTCTTCCTTCAGGAGATGAACTCTTCTTGGTACTTAACTTCTTTGTTTTGTAAATCTCTTAATCTGCCCCCGTGCTGTCAAATTGGTCAAGTTTTTAGTCTTCAGCAAGCTCAAGTAATTAGAGTGGGATGTTTGCCTTCCTTGTCGGTCATGATTCTTATTAGCCAGTCGAGGGTTCATGGTTGTCATAAAATGCTCCTGTCTAATGTGTTAGGGAGGCAAGGCATTGCGTCTCTTTCTCCCTCATTCAAATTTATTACCTTTCTGTTTCTTTCATCACACAAGATCATATCTTGAAGTCTGAGCATAGTTATTTTCTATAATGCATAACATGCTTGAAACTTTGCCTTTTTTTCTTAGATTGGCTGAAAGATGTTGCAACTGAATGTTGATCTATAAGTTTGACAAGAGAACTCACTCTTTTATGTTTTACATGGCAGGTATGAGAAAAGTTATATGCATCGAGATGTGGTGACGCACGTTGCTGTTTCAGCAGCAGATTTTTTCATCACTGGAAGTCTTGATGGTATTGCTTTTGAATGTACATGCGAAGGTGTTTCATGCCCTATCATTTTGTTCCTGAACTTTTTCCTGAAGTTGTTTCGTTCTACGTTCCAAAGGGACCCCTATGTTTGGCTTATATACCAATCATAGCTATCTAGAAAGGAGATCTTGGTAGCATAATTTTGTAATTTTTTGGAGCTGCTCTATAATTTTCGGTCTGTTTGTAAGCTTCAGTAGGATTGCCATATCTTAACTTAGACTTTTTTATAACATACAGCACCATGCACTAGAATGTCTATTGGATACATTATTTTGGATGTAAGCTGTTCAGATTGTCTTCCTCAGTACCTGTTGGCTGTTCTCTCAGAAAGTTTATATATTTCATCAGTTAACATAGTGATGATAACTTTTCTATATTCTGTGGGCTGGAGGCCTGTCTTCCGATGCCTGGGGTTATCCTATGAAAGATGCAAAAGAGCTGAAGTTGGTGGTGAAAGTTGGTTTACCCCTCCAAGGTTGTTGGCATTTTTCCATTTGTTAACTTAACACGGAGAGCAGGGGTTAATCACAATTTAAATCAATTAATTTTTTTTTTGATATTGGAGCTTATTCTAATTGTTATCTTTGGGCTCCTCATTCTTTATTTCATGAATTCCATTACCTCGGATGCTGCAGCATCCGAGGTTGCATATGTTGGAACATTTCATGTTGAAAAATTGAATTTGCTTATACTTTGATTCTCAGGTTATGAGTCAAGACTCAGCCTGTTTGTATTATATAGCTTATTCACCACTTTACTTGCCCAGTGAATGCAATCTGTGCAGCTTTATTTTTATTTATTTTTATTTTTTTGTAGTTCTTATGATGTCTTAGTGGATGCCAGGGATTGGAAAATTGTGTTGATGGAGGCTTTTCTTTTTCCTTGTTTATTCTTCAGGGCACTTGAAATTCTGGAAGAAAAAATCAATTGGTATTGAGTTTGCAAAACATTTCAGATCCCATCTTGGTCCCATAGAAGGCTTAGCGGTGAGTTCTTTTTGCTGCCTCGGTTAATTGTTAGTTCATTAGTAGATTGTCAATTTGATTTATGTTGATAAAAAAATTGATCTTGAAACCCTTCTCATTGGAAATCTTGTAGTGTATTCGGTTTCAATTAACCTAGTTTGTATTGGTTGGAAGGGGAATTCACAAACTTAAGTGGGATAGTGAGTATATTATAAACAAAAAAAAGTGGGATAGTGAGTACAGTGACCTTTAGTTTCCTCTTTACCGTGCTTATGTATGTTCATAATTTTATTTGGCACATCATTGGCTTTTCTTGCTTGTTTAATTTAAGTTCGAGTTGGATGATTAGTGAAGTCCTCAACCCTGACCCTTTTCCAGCTTTGCAGGTTAGCATTGATGGTCTGCTGTGTTGCACGATATCAAGTGATCAATCCGTCAAGATCTATGATGTGGTGAATTATGACATGATGGTCATGCTTAGCTTGCCATATATTCCTGGGAGTGTTGAATGGGTTTATGAACAAGGAGATGTGAAAGCCAAGCTTGCAATCAGTGATCGAAACTCCTCTTTTGTTCACATTTATGATGCACGAGCGGGTACAAATGAACCTATTATCTCAAGAGAGGTAACTAACTAGGGATGCAGTAGTTCCAATGAGAAGCCGCATTACCTCTTTCCTTGATGAAGATATCAAGTTTTTGCTTTTTGATTTGTTCCTCCAGATTCACATGGGGCCAGTCAAAGTTATGAAGTACAACCCAGCTTTCGATACTGTGATATCTGCTGATGTGAAGGGAATAATTGAATATTGGAGTCCTTCTACACTTCAGTTTCCAGAGGATGAGTATGTGCCCCTCTACACATTGAGCTGTCTGAATTCATAGATATGCTATTATCTGTCTCATTCCTTTTGCTTTTAGATTTGTATTAAGATGATACACTTCTGGTCCTTGTTTTCATCTAATGTCAACCATTTTCATCCATTTGTAGTATTATTCCTGTTAGGTTCCATTCTTTTTACAATTTACGCAGTTACTTTTTAGCTTTCCGTTATTGTCAATGGTTGTGATGTCTGACAATCTTTTCTTTTAATTTGCAATGCAGGGTGAATTTTAAATTAAAAAGTGATACTAACTTATTCGAAATAGTGAAATGCAAGACGAGTGTTTCAGCTATTGAGGTGATATGACTTCTTTTTGTATAAGTGTCATTGTGGATGCTGGATGGTTAGAATTAGAAGAAGGAAACTAATTAGTCAATCTTAATTTTTTATGGCCTTCAGGTCAGCCCCGATGGTAAGCAGTTCTCAATTACATCACCTGATCGCAGGATACGAGTATTTTGGTTCAGAACGGGCAAACTAAGACGAGTTTATGATGAATCTCTTGAGGTAAGACCAATGTTTGACTAGGCTTTCATATTAAATATGCGCCTTTAGTTTTTCCTAAAGATTTTATCTGCTGTGGGTAGGTGGCTCAAGACCTACAAAGGAGTGATGCTCCTTTGTACCGACTAGAAGCCATTGATTTTGGACGAAGGATGGCTGTTGAGAAAGAATTTGAGAAAACAGAAACTGCAACTCAGCCAAATGCTGTTTTTGATGAAAGTTCCAATTTCATCATATATGCGACACTGCTGGGAATAAAAGTAAGTGAACTTTGATTATTTCATCTAATTGCTAATGCTTTATGCCTTAGGTTGTTATTCATCTCTTCAATTTGAGATTCAATGATTTTTTCTAACTCTTTCGACCTTCTATGTATATGTAGATAGTAAATCTGCACACGAACAAAGTGGCCCGAATCCTCGGAAAGGTGGAGAACAACGACAGGTTCTTGCGAATCGCCTTGTATCAAGGCGACCGAAGCAATAAAAAAGTTCGAAAAATTCCCACAGCAGCAGCTAATGCAAATGAGAGCAAAGAGCCATTAACTGACCCTACTCTTTTATGTTGTGCCTTCAAAAAGCACAGGATTTATTTATTCAGGTATGTGGCTTATTAACTTGTCTGATTTTATCCTAGTGACTGTTATGTACTTCTGACAAATTATGAAAGCATGTCTTGTGAACATCTGACAGCTTTAGAGTTAATCTACAAGTACATAAGCTTTTGGAAGCCTTAAGCTTTATGATGAAGACCTTTTAGAGTCATTCCTTTGTATTGAAGTGCTTTTTTTCCCGCTGAAGAGAAAAGTACTTCCTTTTAACAAAAAGCGGATAAATGTTTGCTTCACACAAGTTGATATAGTGCTGTACTTCAAGGAAGAAAAATCTCTTCAAGATGTGATCTAGCTATTTCCAATAGGTAGATGATCAGTAAGAAGGAAAATTACGGTTTATTAGTTTGAAAACATAAGCTCATCCCTTCTTAATGTTCTATCATGATCTAAGGTACTTCATGAAACATCTGAAGTTATGTTCTCTGGAAATGAGTTGCAAGTAGCTAGCTATCATCCAGCACAACAATGAGGTTATGACATGTGGTTTTATCACTTTCTTAATGTACTAATAACAGCCGGAGAGAACCAGAAGAGCCCGAGGATGCAACTAAGGGCAGGGATGTTTTCAATGAGAAGCCTCCAGCAGATGAACTCTTGGCTGTTTCAGAACTAGGAAAGGCTGCGGCATCATCACTCCCTGAGAATGTGGTGAGTTTTCTAATGATATGAATAGATAACCCTTAATCAGTTTATCTCCTTATCTGCCATTCGGAATATGCTGTATTTACTCATTCATTTAAATACATACGGTTGTAACCAAGTTCTCCTACGTTGAAAGTCATATTTTCCCCCCTTCCATGATTGATAGAAGCAAGGGGGATCATGCTGTTGTCTGATTAATTTTTTTGGTAACATTTCCATTTTTAATGCCAGATTCTGAACACTACAATGGGTGACATTCATATGAGACTCTACCCTGAAGAGTGTCCGAAAACTGTGGAGAACTTCACGACACACTGCCGGAACGGTTATTACGATAATTTGATATTCCATCGTGTCATCAAAGGGTTCATGATACAGACGGGAGATCCTTTGGGAGATGGCACTGGTGGGCAGTCCATTTGGGGGAGGGAGTTCGAGGATGAATTTCACAAAAGGTTGACTAACTTTCTATGAAAAATGTTGTATGTCAATTATTAGATTGAGAAGTGAAGACTTTATCCAACTGATCCATTTCTTTCCTTTCCCCCTCCATTGCAGCTTACGTCATGATAGGCCTTTCACAGTATCTATGGCAAATGCAGGGCCAAATACCAACGGTTCTCAGTTTTTCATCACCACAGTAGCTACACCGTGGCTGGATAGTAAACATACTGTATTCGGCAGAGTTGTTAAAGGAATGGATGTTGTCCAGGTAACGCTACAACTGTCCATGACACACTGCTTCTAATATATTAGTCAATCAGCTCTCCCTCCTAACAACACTATTAGCTTTGCTTTTGGGACTAATTGTTATGGCGATTACAGGGTATCGAGAAGGTGAAGACTGACAAGGGCGACAGGCCATACCAAGATGTGAAAATTTTGAATGTTACTGTCCCAAAGAATTAACATCACCCCCCATAACGGAGACTTCCTTGAGAAGGGGTGTGCGTTTGCCAAGAATCTTGTGTCCCAAGTAAGCGGGTCAATCTCATCATCCACTTCGAATTGCTTGTCCACTTGAATGTGGTCTGTAGGCCATCAGTTATAGTTTCAGGGTAGTGGTAGAAACTCTTGATTCTGGAAATGTCTCGCTGTTCATAAGGTTCTAAAGCGGGGTTTTTTTCATTTTTTTTTCTGTTGCAGATCGCAGCACGGTCGCTTTCATTGTAAGCTTCCAATCGATACTGTATCCCCGAGTCTGACGCGTAGTCCTGAGTTCAAAAACCTTCTCTTTGGTTTGAGATGTACCTGTTACTTGCCCACTGGTACTGATACAGAACCAAGCTACAAACATTTTTATAAGCATCTTTCCATTTTTATTATAGATAGATTTATCGTGAACATTGAATTCGTAAACACACTATAGGTATAGGACACCCTATATCTGACTATATTGGCCCAGCCATTCCTAAATGGATCATTTGGTTTAAGTTTGATCACCAGTAGAAATGTTGATTAATCATTAATCAAATTTAATCCAATATCCAATCTCTTTGACCATGATTGTTTCATGTCTGGACTTGTAAAAAATGCCTACAAGCATGAGCCATCAATTAATTGCCATGCAGAAGAAGCAAAGTCCTACCGTCCCTCTTTTTTTACTGCCAAAACTACCCACACCACCTTCCCCATTAACTTAACCAATAATTAATACCTTGTAAAAAAAAAAAAAAAATACTTCAAGAGCATTCTCTGTTCCTGCAAATCAAGGTGATAACAATGGCGGCAGAGCAAACTGATGCTGCTGAGAAGGACAACATTTCGCAACAGCAGGCGGAGTTCATCCAGAGAATGAAAGACGAGGCAAAACATACACTAGTTTTCTTTATATAAAGCAAACCTCAGGAACCATTGTGGTGGGGTGGTAACTGACAACCAGTTATGTTTTTGTAGGAGACGCTGGACGTGAACTTCGATACGGTGGCGGGGCTCCGGTCGCCGCCGGAGAACCCGAGGTTTCTGGTGGAGATCATCGACACTTTCGTGGCTCACTCTGCAACTGTTGTCGCACGGTTGGAGTCTGAAATGTAAAATACACATATCCCACAAACTCACATATTTATTTTACTGTTGGACCCTTTTTTCCTTAATTTTTCATGCATCGTTTCGTTGTGGTCGCTACTTACTCAGCAATCAGCCGATTCCTTTCTACGATGATGCAGTCAGGGATCTTCTCCAACTCAAAGGCAGCTCTTCCAGGTATTAATATCTCGGAGCAGATTGTTAAGTTGCAATTTGGTGCAAGTTTGATTGATTTTGTCACTCTAAAATCATATTGGTGGCAGCATGGGAGGCGGAAGAGTGGCGGCTGCTTGCCTCGAGTTGCGACGTGCTTGCGATGACTCGGATAAACAGAGGTACTACTGCCGTCTGCCAGTATCATCTTTGGAGGTTGATTGATTGTACGCTTGAGATTGTGTAACTGAATCAAAGTCTATTACCTACTTAGTAGGTGCTTGGAATCCTTGAAGAAGGTGAAGGACGAGTACCAGACTTTGAGGGACACCCTCATCGAGATCAGTAGGGTATGTAAAACAAAAACTTCATCCCCTGGAATTGTATGCATATCAACTAAAGATTTACAGTAATCGATTTACTAAACTGCATTATTGGTTGATTGCCAGATGGAGAAGATTATCCTCGACAAAAATGTCACGCTGGCTTCATCATCATCAGCATTGAACTGACAAGAGCTCGTTAGAAACTGCTATGTGAAATTGTGAACCCTCTTCTTCATTAATGTTGGGATCCTCTGTTTTTATGATTAGAAGTTGTGTTTGGCCTTTTTGGGTCTCAGTGAAATTACTGTGTTGAATGGTACGGTATGGAACTGTTGCCTAAACTACAACACAAACCACAAAGCAATTAAACAGAAATAAAACAGGATACTGGATCAAACAATAAGAGAATTTAAGTATCAGAGCTAACACTGCAATTTCATGACATCTTCATTCATAAATCCAAAATTAAGACTGCTCTCAGGCACATCCAATAAATCTCGAAGTACAGATAACAAAACTTGTAAAAGTTCAACTAAAACACTAAGTAAAAAACCAAAGTACAACAGTCTTCAAGGGACAACAATAGCCAGCATGCAGAGGAATCTAGTCGAACAAGCTGAAACCCATGTCCTGCAAAAACATATAAAAAAAAACAGACCAAGATCAGCACTTTTCATAAACAGAGGAACAATCAATGAACTGGTTCAATGATCAATCATAAGAAGGAAGAATAGTAGGGAGAGGAAACTTTACATCATCTGACTCTTCCTTCTCTTCCACTTTCTCTTCCTTCTTTGACTCCGCAGCTGGGGCAGCACCACCAGCAGCGGCAGGGCCAGCTGATGCAGCAACTGCAATGCCGCCGCCACCACCACCTGAAGGAACTGAGGCCAACTTCTCCATACCAGCTGCAATGAGCTCGGTGGTGTCCTTTCCTTTCACTTGAGACAAGAGCAACTCAATCCTATCCTCATCAGCATCAGCGCCAACTGCAATGAAATGAATTCACAACACAAAAACCGCAATTAGCATATTGACTAGTCAGGCAGCACTTCTCACATGTTCTGCTCTACAATAACCAACCAAAGCAAACATTTTGGAATGGTCCTATATTACTTCTGAAAAGAACACAAGAATACATCCTAAATCACTTCTGAAACTCAAACTGGTTATCCGAAGCTGAAAAAAATGGATTGTTCTAGAAAAGAGAGCATCTTTAACCTTCAAGGTCCCTAATTCACAGTATGATCTCTATCGACCTCAAATACATTTCAAGGATAACAGGGACTAATTCATGCTTACAAACTGACGAACTGAACGGCAGACAAATCGAAACCCTCTATTTAAATGAACAAGGAAATGGAAGCCTTACCGGATCCAAGGATCTTCTTCAAGTCCTCGGCGGTGGGGGAGGAGTTGCCTCCCAAAACGGCGAGAAGGTAAGCTGCGACAACCTTCATTTTCTGTCCTGAAACCACAACAGAAATGAAAGATCGGATCAAATTGAGAAGCCGAACGGCAGGAGACGAGACCGGAGATAAACAAACGGCTTCGTACTGTGGGTTGAAGCGGGTGAAGGATTGGAGGTGCTGGCCTCTTGCGCAGATGAACGAAAAATCTAGGGTTTCTGAGGGACGACACGAATGGAGGCCGTATGATTTATATACATGTAGGGTTTTTGTCTTTCCGCTTTCTGGTTTCCATTATCGGATCCTGACCGTTCATTAAGCTACCCTGAATTTCCAGTCTGTAGCTCTTTTGGGCCTCGGATTGGGCCGATGGGATAATCGACAGACCCATTAGCTGTTGGGTTTGTAGGGGTAACCCACCCAAAAATAAACTAGTGCATACAAGTAGGGATGGTTATACGGTCCGGTTAAATTGGCCCAAATTGATCCGATCCAATTCGGTCTTTTTAAAAATATAAGGACCAAAGATTGGATTGGATTGGATACAGTCTGGTCTTGACCCGGTTCGGTCCCAATTCGGTCTTGATATTATATTGAACTTGTGGGGATTTGAGTGGCCTAAGGCCTGAAAGGGTGAGGAGTTGGTTAAGTGCATAGGTTTGTGACTGTTTATGCAAATTACCTTTAAGTTTTGGGTGTTGAGCTCTCCTATCCGGTCTTTATCTAGTTTTCGATCCGGTCCCAAACGGCTTTTTACCTCAAATCTAAGCCCAAAAATTGGATTGGATTGTTTACTATCTGGTCCCGGTCCGGTCTCGGTTTGGATTATACGGTCCGGATCGATTCAACTCGGTCCAAGGCTTTCATGGTTATTGTGTAAATATTATAGCATTCAATGTGTACAGAAGATATGAATTGTTTACAAAAGAGATCATCTCGTGATTAGAGATATAGTCTATAATCTAATTTATGTAATCTAGAGCCACATCAAATTCCTGAAACTCAATTAACAGTATAAATCAATTGCACTCCTGAAACTCAATTAACAGGATAGATCAATTGCACAGGATTTGCATCCTGTGTTGGAATTCGATTAAACGAGTAAATTCAATAATTGAGGGAACTAAACTCATATTACGACTTTTGGGTGCCCAAACATAGAGGAATATGTCCCCAACAAATCACCTGAGAAACCAACTTTTTTTCTTGGGTTCTGGAGTTGATTCATCCCTTTCTAACTCTGGCATTCTGCTCTCCGTCCCTTGTTTCAGTGCCTCCAGCCGTCTCCTGCACAAATCAAACAGAAAGATCAGATCAGGTTCCTGTTACTGATTCCCCTCAAGGAGAAAATGATATTCGCATCGAAAATGCCTGTCAAGTTGTACTACCTACTAATCACAAGGCTAACATTAATGATTAATGAGCATTACTTGGTGTCAGTCATACGACCATGGAAGCTCCATCTTTGGCGAAAGCCTTCCATGCCTTCAACTCCACTGGCAAGAATCAGGCGCCTAATAACAAGTCAAGCACAGAGATAAATATGGTCATCAGGACAATCCATGAGTCTAATTTTCACAAACCTGATTCAAAAAAACAGGAGATGAAAATGAAGCACACTAATGTTTAAGTTTCGAAATGTGATGCATATGAGGCTCAGCGCCCGAGTCATAACTAAGACAAACCTATCATAAGCTGTGGCTTCTGCTTCAAGTTGAGTAACTCGTTTCTTTGCCTCATCCAAGGGCATTGATAACCCCAATTTGTGTTCACTATCTTGAAGGCGTTGCCTTAGCAACTTATCCTGAAACCCGTCCTCTCAAACATTAAATCTCCTGAGATGAACCACAGTCCAATTAGAAATGAATGTTTTTATGCTGCGAAGCGAATCCAACTCACCCGCTTTTCAGCACATTCTCTGTACAGAGAAAGCTCATCTTGACAGAAAGGTTCGATGTCATTGACTTGCAAGCCTACAAGAAGAAGTATGAACACTGATCCTTAGTTACCACACGAGGTCAAATTGGAAAAGCACTTTGATCTCCCCTATTATCCCTCAGAGACTCATGAGTAGCCACTCAGTAACTAGAAAGAACAGCTGTTGCTGCTCTTAACAAATGAATAGAGAGAACTCACATAAAAATAGATTCTTTAAGACTCCGTCGCATAATTCAAGGCCTTCCACCACATGGGAGGCAATTTCTTTCGGGATGAGAGGAGATGGTGGCCCCAACATTAGGTCCTCACCGACCAATATGGTTTCCTCCATGGTTGGCTGCGCATCAACTGAAAGCAAAGAAGAAATAAGAAAACACTTTTTCCAGGTATCAATCAAGGATTTTGTGAGTTAGGTAGCAGTTCAGCATGCACCCAGGAACCCGATATATGAGAGAGCATGAACATGTTCCCCAAATCCCACTATGCAAAAATACCGAAAGAAAAGGGAACGAAGCTCAACAACTACTTCCATTCCATAGTTTACGACCCTGAACATTGAAAGCACTAAAATCCAGGACGAATTCCAAAAATACACATGTTTTTAAAAAAAATTCTCAAAATACACACGTTATAAAAAAAATTCTCAAAATACACATGTTTGGGCATCACCGTTGCTGTCAACCACAGTGAATGCATTCACCGCGGCAGACCAAAGCGGTGAATGCATCACCGTGGTTGACGGCCGCGGTGAATGCCCGACTTAGCACTGAAACTTCAAACAAATCCGATTGTAGCGAAAAAATTTTTTGATTCCATGTAACTTTTCAAGATCTTTCAATCTGCAAGAAGACTTCATCTCAAAAAAATGTCGTTTGTTACCCCGAACGAGCAATTTTTCGATTTTGCCAAATTTTGGAAGGACATAACTTTTAGCTCCTCAATCCGAATGTCGTAAAGTTTTTTTTTTTGCACATAACTTTTTAAGAACTACAACTTTGACTAGGAAATAATTTTTTAAAAGAGAAGTATTTTTGGGTATACGGGATTTTGGGAATAACTTTGCCTTTACTTTTCACAAATCCACATACTTTCCAAAATTATGGTTATAATCAAAGTTGTAGTACTTCAAAAGTTATGCAAAATCAAAAAAAGTTTCATGACATTCGGATTGTGGAGCACAAAGTTATGATCTTCCAAAGTTTGTCAAAATCGAAAAATTGCTCGTTCGGGGTAGCAAATGAATTTTTTTGGGGATGAAGTCTTCTTTCAGATTGAAATATCTTGAAAAGTTATGTGGAATAAAAAAAAAATTCGCTACAATCGGAGAACCAAGCGCAAAGTTACGTTTGTTTGAAGTTTCAGTGTTACGTCAGGCATTCACCGCGGCCGTCAACCCGCGGCCGTCAACCGCGGTGATGCATTCACCGCTTTGGTCTGCAGCGGTGAATGCATTCACTGCGGTTGACAAAAACGGTGATGCCCAAATATGTGTATTTTGGGAAATATTTTTATAACGTGTGTATTTTGAATTTTTTTTTTTTAAACATGTGTATTTTGAGATTTTTTCATAAAATCCAAATCCACTCCTTCAAAATGCCATCTTTATAAACAATATATTTCATTGAGGTAGACAAAACAAAAGAGAAGCATTAACATACCATCCATGGCAGCTGTCGAAATGAACTCTTTATTTCAATGTATATCAGGACCTGTAAAACGACGACACCGAAAGCAGAGTGAGAAATCAGAAGAAGTTCCAGCTGATTACAGACTCCACAATCAGAACCAAGCAAGCATCACTCTACAAAATTCCACCTGGAAGCCTCAGACAAACTAACACTACTTCACTGAAAATGGAAGAAGGGATAACGGAATTGTAGCGGAAAATTTTAAGCTCGTTCAGGAATTTCATCGAACACTTGGAGCACAACCCCAATTCATACTTAACCAAAAACCTCACAGGTCCTCCTCGGCCCCCTCAGTTCTGACTTTCTTCAAACACCAGTCGAAAGAGGAACAATCTTTGATTCCAAATGGCGGAAAGGAGACGGAGGGAGGAGCCTGTTTGAGTGAGTGGCGTTATACACTTACCCTTCAGGCAAGGCAATAACCAAAAGAGAAGTCTTTGCTGAAGTGCCACCAATGAACGCAACCAGGTGGGCAGGAAGGGGGAAGATCGAAAGTGGAGACTGGGCCGCGACGGCGAGGGCGGCGGAGCAGCGGAGGGAAGGGTGATGGTCTGATGGAGCCGGAGCTTGGGACGACGGCACAGGGGAAGGTGGATGGAGAGTGGAAGTTTGAGAGAAGGGACAGAAAAACCACTGAACTACCACCAACCCAATACGACGTCGTTCTACTTTCCGTTAGGCAAGTGGTGGCCCGTGGCCGTATCTTGGTCTGGCCAAACCGGTACCCAAACGTATTTTTTAGTGAATGAAATAATGAGGTGGAAAATATAACAATTTATTTTTTTTATTTTTAATAATTTTTTAGTTGTCACGTCACTAAGTTAATGGTCAATTTTGAGAGTTGACTGCCACATCAACCCAAGTTAACAGAGTTGGACAAATAGTGATCAAACGTGAACGATTTGAATAAACTGAAGTACCATCAATAGATTCAAATATTTCGAGTGACCAAACTTGAAATTTTTTTGTAATCTCACTGACCAACCATGCAATTTTTTTTTTATTTCTGAGTGATATCAATAGAAGAAAATAGTTAAACTTACAATTCTACCCAGGACCCCCTAACAGATTCTAAAGAAGCCACCCCAAAAAAATCAAAAGATTCTAGCTCTACACGAGACAAAAGCAGTGCTTTACGCGCCAGTCTATGGGCAGCACTGATGGCGGATCTATGTACCGCCCTAAACTCTATACAAACAGACAAAGAGCTAAGGATTTGAAGACACTCTCGTAACACCAGACCACCAAAAGAGACTTCAAAGACGCCTTGTCGGACTTGGTAGACCACCACTTCGGAATCACCTTCGACTATCACGTGGGTCAAGGATCTTGATGCTACGATGGAGATGGCGACTCTAAAAGCTAGAAGCTCTGCCAGATAAGGATAGACTATTCCTTGATGCTGCAGCACGAGCGCCAACACCACATGCCCGTCTGACCCACGGATAACAAGCCCAGACGAACAACCGGTGGCACAAACAGCTGCGTCTACGTTGATCTTCAAAAAGTCTTATGGTGGAGGGACCCAAGTAGTGGCAGGATGAACTGGGATTAGAGAGCTGCGGGGCGGAGGAGGAGGAAGAAGATTGGAGAATTTGAGGACCCGGTTGTAGAACTGTCTGGCTAGGGAACGGACATGGGGTTGGATAAATTCGAAGGTCACTTTAATTCTAGACTTCCAGATTCTCCAAAGTAAACAGACGCATTGGAGAATGTGGAATTGGGAGGTCTCAGAGACCATGACATGTCGCCACCGTAGACTAACGTTAACAGTCTGTGCGGTCTCAATAAAGTTGCTCAATCCCACTAAAGTCCACAATCTGGTGGCTAGGGGACATCTGAATAATAAATGTTCAATGCTTTCTCGATGTCTCCAGCAGACAGGGCATCCGTTGAGACAGTTGACTCCACGAGATTGAAGGGGCACTACTGTGGGAAGTATGACTTTGAGGCATTGCCATATGAAAAATTTAAACTTAGGCGGGACTTGGATATTCCAAGTCTTTTTCCAAATAATTAAGATAATCTCAATTAAACCAATTTGGAAGACCAAATATCCACCCCACTTCAAAATCCCATTTATTTATATGTAAAAGATCAAACTTGCGTGTGTCCCATTGGTTAGTCAAACCCATTAAATGCCAATAAAGCACACATTGAAGGCCTATAATTACTATTAACGAAACCTGCCATTGTCGAGTAAAACTCTATCCCCATTAGAGCCGTTGTAGGGCACCTAATACCATCAAATAAATTAGATGCTGATAGCTTCCAATCAAAAGGTCAACAAAGAAAATAATTGAGCTGACCCACATGAATAGGGAATTATTTCCCTAATAACATCAAATGAATGATGATTTAAAAGCTCATAATAAAGCTTTTATCGTCCGAAACGGACGAATACCTCCAATAAATGGAGTTTTAATTTTTAACGGAGGGGCATTGAATGCAGGATCGGCCGAACAAAGCCAGTCGTCGGGTAACTCTCTGCTGCGCAACAACGACTCGAGCCTCTGCAGCTTCAGCTCATGCTTGAACCGGTTGATGAAGTTGCTTCGCCAGTAAATGGACCTCAGGTAAAAAGCAAATTGAATTAAAACAACAAGGTATACGATCAATTAAACTTGACCAAACCAAGAAAAAGCAAATTGAATCCATGGTTTACGATGACATTTTCAATGCATAGGCCAGAAATTCAGAATCTAAGAGTAAAAATCAGACGCGAGACACCAAGCTCAAAACAAACAAAAATATGAACGAACAAAAAAACGAATCTGCAATGAATTCGGTGATCTGGAAACCCTTTTTCACTTAGGAATCGAGAAAAGAAACGCCGCCGCGGAACTCGCCGGAAGATCAGCTAGCAAACCGAATCTCGGAAACGGGAAATGCAAAAACCACGGCCTCCGACGATCGAAGCAAATTTGTTTCGGCCTGGGTGCAGAGAGAGAGAGGGAGAAGAAGAAGAAGAAGAAGAAGAAGAAGAAGGGACGATGGGGTTTAGGTTTTGCGGATTGGAATTCGAGAATCGCAGATTCGAAGACAAATCTGCGGGCTTCCCCCTCTGACCAACCATGCAATTAACCCGTAAACTTTTATACATAAAATTGATTACACGTTTTTGCCACAAAATGGATAATCCGATTATAATTATGCTCCTTAGAGGGCACGAAAAATCTGATCCTAGTTGAAAAAACAGACTTCCTCGTTTATTCATCAGAAGCAACAAAACCGCAAACAATTTTTCAATCAGCAAAACCAAAACCAACCAGGGGAAAAAAAATGTAAACACAGTGCTTCAGACGCCGACTGCAGCCATAAACTCCAGATCCCTTCCCAATCTCTCCGCCGTCTCCGGCAACAAGCAAATCTCCACGTCCATGCTTCCCGCCTCCACTCCGGGATACACCGTAACCTTGCCGTCGAATTTGTTGCCGGCCCCGCTCCGCACCGCGACCGGCTTCCCCCAACCGAAATCGTTCCCGTAGACGTCGTACCTCGGGGAGCTACCCAGCAGCATCATTCCCTCTTCTAATTCCCCCATTTTTAGGAACTTGGGGTTCCCGATCCAAGACTCCATCGCTTCCTTCAGCTTCTCGTCCGTCTGCTCCGCCACCACTCTGTTGATCGCCGCCGCCACGCGCCCCAGCCCCTTCTCCGCCACCAGCAATTCGCCCTCCTTCAATACGACCGATTGGCTCACAATCGCGTTCCCAAAGTAGTCCTCCAGAACTCTGGGCTGGAGCCGCGATCGAAATCCGAAGAATAGGAGGAATTTCAGATCTCGATCTGGATCGGGATTGTAGTTGCTCCGATTTCGGAACACTGCTCTCCAAATGTGGGAAATTAGGGATTGCAGAGACGAGATCTGGCTGCCGCCGCCGGCTTCGGCATTGGCTTGCGCTTTCAGCGCCGCCAGCTTCTCGCGGCTGAAGTGGAAAACCCGCTCTTTTAGATGCTGCGGTGGGACAACTTTTTGTTCCAAATTTTCGACCACCATCCACGAAAACCTGCAAACAACGGATTTTACAGTTGGTCTTCAATCTATAAGTTATAAAGGCACTTCAAAATTTAGCAACTTATGCTTTTACATCTATAGTTCACCAATAGCGACCGATCCAAGGCATAGTAAAGTACTGGGCCGCATTTGAATAGTATTAGATATCGAAAATAAAAGTATATAACTCTCTCACACATTGTACTAAAAATTCTTTTAATTTGACATATTCATCATTAATAAAATCTCTATCCATACCAATAGCATACTCTCTGATCTCAAAGAAAGTAGCTAAGCAATCAACGAGAATTTCATCGCTCATTTTATTGCGCAAATTAGTCTTCACATATTTCATTGCTGAAATTGTTCTCTCCATTGTAGCCATTGAAACGGGCAGGGTCAACAGTAGACGAATCAACTGGCAAAACAATTTGTATATGTTCATCTAGACCATTTCCCTAGTTACACAAAATCTCATTATCAAATAACACTCGACCTACTTTTAAATAATAACAGGCCGAATATCTAAGATCGAGAAATTTATAAGCACTACACTAACTCTGTATACGAAGGAGAGCTGGGTCGTGGCCCTGATTGGCCCAACCCTAGATCCGCCGCTGTTCACCAACACGCTTTTAAGTAGAATCGTGTTTTTTGACTTTTAAGCGTAGTAAAAATATATTTTAAAAATTTACGTTTTTTATTGCATTACACCTAACAATAAATTAAACATATACCTGACCGGCCGATGCTTCTCATCCAGAAGCCATTGCCTGCTGAAAACCCGCGACTTGTCGGAGCCGTTCATCATCTCGGCTGAATAACCACCACCGCCGCCGCCGCCGCCGCCGGACCGGCAGATTCCTGACCATAAATTCATAAACCTCCAGAAAGTCGCGCCGTCGGCCACCACGTGGTTAATCGTGCAGCCGATGAAGAACCCATCGACGAGCTCCGTCACCTGGACCGCGAGTAACGGTCCGGAGAACCCGTGGTGGTTTCTCATCCTGTTGAGAGGGAAAAACGACCAGAGCACCGCCGGGACGTAGAGCGGCTCGAGGACATCGGCGACGGACACGCCGTCGGCCGCGGCGTGGACGAACAGAGCGCCGGCGTTGTTGTTGCAGTCGATGTAGACGGAGGCAGTTCGGCCGGCGTCGGCGTGTTCGTCGACGGAGAGCCGGCCGGCGAAGGGGTAGAAGGAGGCGAGCGCGCGGGAGAAGGAGGATTTGAGGGACTGGATAATGAACGTGGTTCGACCTTCGGTCGGACCCGTGGTTGGTTTGCGGAAGAGAAGGCCCTTTTGGTTGGGCCCGAGGAGGATGAAACGCAGGTCGCATGGAGTGAGGGGAATGCGTTCTGCTTCTGCTGTGTGCCTCGGCTGCTCGGCGGCTTGAACCAAATCTGTGGAGAGAACTCGTACTTGGCCGTCCGCCATTGTTTTTTTGATTGACAGGAATGCTGCTTTAGCTATGAGGAGGCCGAGGCAGTGGGGATTTGCTAGATTATAAGGTCGTTGATGGGATGAAAAATGATTTAAGTGGTGGGTCCAACACTTCGGAGTGCCCATTTTTTTTCAAAGTTGGATCCACATTCATCTGCCATCAATCATCATATGTCCATTCCTCCCATGTGATGGTTTACTGTTCATCACAGACCAATCACAAGGGTACTATTATTGACGAAATTCTGCAACTCCACTAGCTAGAACGAGGAAACACATATATATATTTGGCTAGCGGGAGAGTCCATGAGACCAATATTGGCAAATACTGATCCGATGACATAATTAGTTCTTGGTAATCTAGCTACTAGCAAATCCATATGAATTCAAATTGTGGCGAATCGTACATCTACTGATCTCACGGTTCGAACTAGCTATAGCTTCTTACGGTTACTTAATTAGGGGTCTGGAAGGAACAAAAAAAAAATCGCTAATTCATACAGAACCATTGAAACGGTCCAACCAACAATCAAAACTGTATGCGACATTCATATGAACAAACAACAAACTGACCGGGATCATATCTTTTCAACTAACAAAAAGTAGGCACTAAGCACTATGTAACACTGAAAAACACTATGGGATCGTTTGGAAGTTGTGATTTCAAACGGTGTAATGAGTTAGTTCATGCATTTGTGAGATTAATAAATCGTTTTTTTTTTTTTTGCTTATATTGAACTAGAATACATGAATTCACTTTTTGGAGGCCCCACCACAATCACTCGTAAATTGAAGGATTATCGATCGCTTCTTTTTGTTGAGATTCTTCACAATCACTCGAAATTGACTTTTGTGGCTTTACAACAAAACACAATTTAAACCTCAAAATAAAGTATTTGCCTAATACATCAATTTAGTTAATACATCAAATGTTAATACACTAATTGACTCAATACATCAATTTGAAAAATCACAACCTCCGAACACATATATCTTATTGTCCCCTCTCTTAATTACTCTCCTGACACTACTCCAAGAAGAAGAAGACAGTTGGAGATTTGATGACCTTGCAAGTAATATATTAATATAAAAATATTACTTTACTTCCAAGCCATTTTTTTGGATTTTTCCAGAATTAGCACTATTTTTTTTTTTTCAAAAATAGCACCCAACTCGAAAAAATGCCAAAAATAGCACCATTTTCCAAAAACCGCCACCCAAACCAGCGGTTTAGGCAAAAACCGCACCCTGGGGGCGCGTTTTTCTATGAAAACCGCACTGGTAGGTTGCGGTTTTGCAAACCGCATGGGGCCGGGGCGATTTCGTTGCAAACCGCACCCCCACCATGCGGTTTGTAATATATATTTTTTCCAAAATAATTATCACAAGTGGACTTGGCACAACTGGTTTAGTGCACAACATCTACACCACTCAACTACAACTCTTCTCTTGAAACAATAATATATTGACAAACTTTTACTTCTCAAAAGCTAAAAATCCTCAATAACTTTAAACAAATATAACTTTGTACTCCAAAATCCGAACGTCTTGAACTTTTTTTTATTTTATTTTGCATAACTTTTTGAGGACTACAATTTTGAGGTCAACTGTAAATTGTTAGTGTAATATACTTTCATCCATCATAATGTATGAAATTTATCTAAATTAGACGTCCATATGTTGTGGTCTACATTTTACATATACAAATATACACTATATGAGCAATATTGAGCTTTATATTTTATGAGTCTAAAAGGGATGAACGTTAACTCTTGAGTGGTTGTGCAAAGTATTAAGTATGTGTATATAACATACGTTAGATATATGACTAATTACTTAACTGGTTAATTTGGTTTGACTGGTTAGGAGTGTCCGAAACCAAATCAAACCACTTAAACCAAACAAGCTAAAATTTTTAACCAAACCAAACCAATTATCCAAATTAACCAAACAAAATTATCCAAATAGTACCGGTTAAAACGGTTACCATGGTAACCAAACCGTTTGAACACCCCTACTAAAGTGTAGGTACTTGCTATCCTGGCAATGCTCGAAGAAGAAGATTTGATTCCTGAAGTAATTAAAAATAGTGATTTATTAATGAATATATAGGGAAAATATTCTGGAACTTTATAATTATCCTGAAGATTGTTGTAATTATCCGAGTTCCATTACCAAGCTATAGCTGCTATCAATGAAAATCTCAACCCAACTACGTAATTATCCAAAATAATCAATTTGGCGACTCTTAGTCAATTGTGCATAAATAAATATCCATCTTTCTCTATAAATCAACATCAAGAGGAATTTCTTCAGTTCCATGATTGTTCCCCAAAGGTTGCAAATCGTAGCCCTGCATCCACGCGATGATGAACATCAATCTCCTCCTAGTAATTATTGCCACCACAGCAGCTCTACTGCTCGGCACTACTGGATCCAATGCCATTAGCCGCCATGACGATCAAAGAAAGGCAAGATATAATCAAATTAATTAGCCCCTAACCAATCATATTCGTCTCTTTGTTCCCATTTTGTGTTAATTAGGTTATGCCAATAATTACTGCAATTAATCAACGTTTTTTGGGTCTGATAATGACATGCAGAACCATATCGTGTACATGGGAAGCTTATCTCCCGAAAACAGCTTCAACCATCTCATGGCTGCTAATAATCGCCACCACAACTTGCTTTCAAGTGTACTTGGAGAGTGAGCATATGCAAACCTAGCTAGCTAGCGTTTTATCATCTATGCATACTTTAACTCTTAATCATGATTTAATTAGTGATAAAACATCGTTAATCTGTTCTTACAGTGAGGAGTTAGCTCGAAGCGTGAGAGTTAGCTCATTCGGGAGGAGTTTTGATGGCTTCTCTGCTCGTCTACTGCCGGAAGAAGCTGAAAGGCTCAAAGGTCTAGTACTTCATCAACTAACACTTAATTAACGTCCTTATCAAATTAGTACTTAATTAATCAAAGAACCCTAATTAAGATATGCGTAACTCATTATTATGTGTTTGAAAAATGTTCAGCGCATCCAAATGTGGTGTCTGTTTTTCCCAACCAAATTCGAGAGCTCCACACCACAAGGTCATGGGACCTCATCGGAGTGACTCAATCGGTCAGGAGAAACCTCAAATTTGAGCGTGACGTAATCGTTGGCGTACTCGATACAGGTTCGCAGTCAAATTTGTTTTTTATCGTAAGTGTTATTATCTCCCATATTTGTCATGTTGAACCAACATTATCACTAATACGATTGTGGTGATATCTAGGTATAAACGTTGATGCCCCGAGTTTCAACGACAAGGGTTTAGGTCCACCTCCTGCGAAATGGAAAGGAATTTGCCAGGAGGGCGCCAACTTCAACCGTTGCAACAAGTAATCGATATTCAGATTTCCAAACCCTAATCACTATCCCTAATTATTAATTAGTGTATGTTTGCGCATGCAGCAAGGTCATTGGGGCAAGGGCTTACGCCTTTGACAATGACCACGGAGAACCCGCCTCGAGTCCGTGTGATCTTGAGGGTCACGGGTCCCACACCGCCTCCACGGTGGCTGGCTCCCTGGTTCAGGGAGCCAGCCTGTACGGCCTGATGAAGGGCACCGCCCGCGGCGGGGTGCCCTCCGCCAGGATAGCAATGTACAAGGTATGCGGCAAGTACTGCACCGACCTAAACATACTGCACGGCTTCGACGACGCCATCGCCGATGGCGTCGACATCATCTCGCTCTCGGCCGGTGGCGGCCCTTTTGCCGGTTACTTCACCGACGCCATCTCCATTGGCTCCTTCCATGCCATGAGGAAAGGAGTGCTGACCAGCGTCGCCGCCGGCAACAGCGGCCCCGACCCCAACACCGTTTCCAACGTCGCCCCGTGGTTGATGACCGTCGGAGCTAGCGGCACCGACCGCCAGCTCGTTACACCCATCACCATCGGCCGGGATGGCTTCAAAACCTTGGTATATATACTTACATATTCATTTGTCAAAAAACCCCAATCACATCGCGTTTTATACACGAACAAAAAAACTTGGTCTGGTGGTACTATCATTTGGTTTAGTATCTCAAGTAGTATGTACCAATGCATATACTAACTAAAGTACTGTGTTTTTCAAGGGAAATTCGATCAATACCGTTTCTTCAGGAAAGAAATTTCTTCCTCTCGTCAGCGGGCGGACAGCTCAGAACTCGAGCAGTAACGATGCGAAAACTTTTCCAGGGTAGGTTTTTTCGTGACGAATTTCTGTGACCATTTCGCGCGCGACAACGTATGAATGATACGTACGTCGGTACGTGATGCATGTTATTGCTAGGGCTTGTATCGATGGGAGTACAAGTAAAGAGATGGTGAAGGGCAAGGTGGTTTTGTGCAATGGAGCCATAGAAGGGGATAGTGTCCTAAAGCGGGATGGAGCGCTTGGAATGTTGATGGCCGACTACAAGGGCGAGTTGGACGCCGCCTATGCTTTCGTCCTCCCAACCGCGATGATCACGCCGGAGCGTTATCTTGCCATTGAAAGATACATTAACTCCACCAAGTAATTATTAATTTAACTTGTTCATTAATTCAATTATTATTATTTTCCAACCACTTTTATTTTATTTATTCAATTTGCCATCGTGTGTATATTAGGAATCCTCAGGTGTTGATACACAAATCAAGGAGCATCCACGTGGACTCGCCATTTGTAGCCTCCTTCTCGTCTCGAGGTCCTGATCGCTATTCCAAAACAATACTCAAGGTACGTAATTCATTAATGGGATTCTTATAAACAAGGTAGAGATATTTTCATTTGAATTCAATAATTTTCAATATGACATTTGTGTGATTGAACTTTCTAATCCGTTAAAAAGTGGAACACTTAATGTGTCACATAATTGTTAGTGTAATATACTTTCATCTCCATTAATTAGGTCAACTGTAAATTTTTACCATCAATGAAAACACTTTTGAGTATATATTTGACCCCCCATGATTTGGGATTTTAACCGTCTCTATTGGGACTTTGTGATATAAACGAAAAATATAGCGGATATATAAGGGTGTTTCTGTCTTTTCCCTTTCCTAATCCTAACTCGTGTTCCCTGTTGCATACGAGTATATGTATTATGTAAGTGATGGCCAAAAACCCTAACGAGAAAACTGAGATAGCATGATTTCTCCGTGGAGTAAGCTCATTCACACCGAATGAGATCAACCACGTAAATCTCTGTGTGTGTCTTTCCGTGTTTGTGTTTTATTCGCTTATACGATATCTTCACACAATTCACTAAAATGTCGAAATTTGTATTTATCACTAATTATATTTCAAGTCTCAGTTACTTATATACATTTTTTTTCATTTGGTGGGTAATTTTCAGCCGGATCTTGTAGCACCAGGAGTGAACATCCTAGGCGCGTACACAAACCTAGCCTCCCTAACATCGAGCCCACTAGACAACAGGTTCAGCAACTTCAACATCATGTCGGGAACATCAATGGCCTGCCCTCACGCCACCGCCGCCGCCGCCTATATCAAGTCCTTCCACCCTGATTGGTCCCCCGCCGCCGTCAAATCCGCCCTCATGACCACCGGTACGTAAAAACACCATCTCACTTTCTTTCATCAACTCGCCACCGGCCCCTTGTTTTCCCCTCCACGCAAGTTTCCCTCACTTGAACATACACATAACAGCTTCACCAATCAAAGTACCCGAGAAGCAAGCCGAGTACGCGTACGGGTCGGGCCAGATCGACCCGACCAGAGCGGTCGACCCGGGTCTGGTCTACGACCTGACGGAGGATGACTACGTACGTTTTCTTTGCAACATGGGGTACAACCGCGTCATGATGAAGCCCATCGTGGGACGTGACGTGGCGTGTCCGTTGACCAAGGCTAAGGTTTGGAGTAGCGACGCGCTGAACTACCCGTCGATGAACCTGCAGCTGCCGATCCCGGGGACGGGCGGGCCCGTGGCGGCGGTGTTTTGGAGGACGGTGACGAACGTTGGAGCGGCGAATGCGACGTACAAGGCGGAGGTGGGTGGTGACGTGGCCGGGTGGAGTATTAAGGTTGTGCCGGAGACGTTGGTGTTTTGGGAGGTGAACGAGAGGAAGTCGTTTAGGGTGATGGTTCGGGGCCCGCCGGTGAATATCGACGACGGGGTGTTGTCGGCGTCGGTGGAGTGGAGGGATACGGAGGGCCGGTGGAGTGTTAGGAGTCCGATTGTGATATCGGCTGATTTGTTGACCTGATCATCGTTGTATTTACGTGTTGGGATTCTTTTTTTACATGAATTTTCGGTTTGATGGAGAGATTTCATACCTCAATTTAAGATGGTAGATTAGATTGCAAGTAGATTGTTTCTGAAAATTTCCAAAAAGAATTCTTGACTACCATTGTCTTAGTTGTGGATTTTTTTTTTTACAGAAGATTGGTTGTTTCATTAATACGAAACAATTTTTTTTTTTACAGATGATTGGTTGTTTCATTAATACGAAACAGTTTTTTTTTTTACAGAAGATTGGTTGTTTCATTAATACGAAACACAGTGTACAGAGTTGATACAATACTGAGAGGAAGAAAGACAAACCAACTAAACAAGAATTCCAAAACATAAGCTTTCAATAGCCCAAAAACCCAGCTGCCCAAAGTCTAGTTTGAATAATTAGACCCGTAAGCCCACCCAGAAATCCTAATTCAGCAGGCCCAAGGAGTTGTGGCCTCCTTTTGCATCCCCCACCCCTGAACCTTGCCGCAATAAGCTTCTGCCTAAACAGACCATCATCGTCAGGGGAAAAACACCAGAAATGACGATACCAACGCTGACGAGAAGAAGAACAGCCGCAAGAACGGTAGGGAGGACCAAACTCAGAACCCAGAGCGGCTCCAAGATTCACCTGACTAGAGGAGCAGCCTGAGAACTTGGACAGAGAAGTGACGCTTGAACCACCACTGATCTGAGCAAAACGGCAATAACCCACCACAAACAAGATTTTCCTGCTCACAAGCTCCCTGAAAATCTATTCTAGACAACAATGACCCACGCATCTCCGAATCATCCCAGATTTGAATGAAACAAAAGGAAGATTGTTGATGGACTCTCTGGGCTTGTTTGGGGCTTTTAAAGCTTGTTCGGTTTGGGTACGAACTCTAGGCTTGGGTGTTAACAGACTTGACTTGTTTTTCTAGCAGGCCCATCTTTGTTTAATTAGGGATCCAAAGTGATGGTTCCATTGGGCTGACTATAGGGTGTGATCTTGTGCTTTATGTTCTTTGCAATGGTATGTGTTACTACCTTATTGATCTTTTCTATTTATCCAAGTTAATTTCACCATGATACAAAGATATTTTGTGTTTTTTTTTATCAACCAAGGGAACAAACAAGGTTGTCATGTTTATATTATCTCCCTAAGTGGCATTAGTTCGTGAGCTGGATCAGATAGAGGACGAGGAAACCACTTCGCGGACGACAGTGTGTCCTGGATCATAATCCATGGGTGATTATGGCCATATAGGTTTATGATTAGCTAGTTTTGCTATATAGGTTTAGTTGATAAATTTTGTATACGAAATTTGGTTTAATTTGTCTGAATATATATGATAGTTGGTGACCGTTATATTTCGGTAAGACCGTAAGGATATCATCTGGTTTCATGAAATAGAGTTTGATCAGTTTGTATGGTTAGGAGTTTGTTAGAAAGCTCGATGACAATTCATTTCACTACCTTGAAGTTGTTACCATTTTTTTGCATTTTCTCTCTTCCTTTTCCTGCTTCTCCCGCATTATATAATATATCAGCCATAGACCATATTGCATTCAAAACTTATGTATCAATTATCATCATTTATCAACTAATAATATATATTTTGTCGATCTCTTGCTAAGAAATAATCAAGTGATGTTAATTTCTCTTTGAATTTCTGTTGCACTTTTCAACCGTCATCATGATGATGAAATCTTTCTCATTTCATTTTCACCGTGTAACGTCAATCATCAAATCAGAAGGGGAAATGCCGAAATGGTAATAGATTAAGATTACTCTCGGCCGGGGAACGCATGGACGAGAAAATTAGCGCACACTTTTTACATATTATCTTAAATCTTCGATTACAACTTTCTCCCAATCAAAGGCTTAACTAAAAACATGGAAAGCACGTGCCCCATTACGGCCGGTGTACCTAATTATTAAGCTAATTAGTCGGCACCATACTATTACTAATCTACTAGTCGGCGGATTTTGTCGTCTTTGGGTGTGATTTTTCGGGAGCCGCAGTAGCATCGACGGCGGATCGCCGGCGTCGCGGCCGCATTCGCCTGTCTTTATCCAAACCGCCACCACGCACCGAATCAGGTCAACTGACCGAAGTTTTCGTATTATAAAAAGAAAAAAAAAAGTAGGGACCTCATTGGCATTTCATGAAAATCACGGGGTGGAGTAGGAAAGAACAAATCAAACACGGGTTGTACCACCCACACACAGTTTCCACACAGATTATACGATCCGAAACCCACAAATTATTATTTTATGTCAAACTAGCCCCACATTGATCTAATATGAATCAGTCAAAAGCAAGACCTTTTTGTTCTGTTTTGTACTTTTGTTTCTTTCTTCTTTCCCTCTTCCATGGATGGATATGATAATTAGTGTGTACTTGGCCTAATTGCAAATTGTACTTAGCTGCGGTTATTTGCACGTGGTGAACCTCGTAAAAGGTAAAGCAAACGACTAACAACTAATGAAACGCCACCGCGATGCATTTCGGACGAATGCTCGAAACACCTTCCCATACAACGAATCGTATTCAAGAGTCCGAAACGCGCATTCAAACTTTCGTCTTCTTTCCATTTCCCGCCAGAAGCCATTATTGCAGCTAGCTGATCATGAACTCTTTTCAAGCCTTCTTACACAACCCAAGTAATCTTTGGCGTTGGCGGATTTTGTCTTTTGGGTGCGTGTGAATTTCGGCAGCCGCAGCTAGCAAACGACGGCCGCGCATCCGCCTGTGTTTATCCCATCCGCAACCGGCCGCACACAGAATGAATAAAGGTAATTGACCCCAAAAAAAAAAAACGTATTAAAAGGAAATTATGGGGTCTGATTGAAATTTCAAGAAAAGTAAGGATATTAAAATGTAAATCACGGGGGAGGAAAGAACAAATCAAACACGGGATGTACACCGATTCTACAGAGATACGGTCCGAAATCATAATAATTTATAATGATTTTATGTAGCCAGCCAAGCACCACAATTGTCATTTTACGTCAAATTAGCCCCACATGGTGTCGATTTCCGGTCGTAATAAAATTCCTGGTTCCCACTTCCGACCGCAAGACCTTTCTATTTTTACCTGTCAATTATTATCATTATACTTAATGAGGTCGACGTGACTGACGACTAGTACCGCTTCCTCCTTCATAATATTGGTATTTGCCAGCTGCTCTTTTATTTTAATACCCATAGTGACCCAGTGTGGGCGTTTTATGAATCAGTCAAAAGTCGACTTTTTTTTTTTGTTTTTGTTCGTTCGTCTTTTTGACTTTCCATCATCCGGGTGTTATCATGGATATAATTGTACTTGGCCTGATTACATATATTGTACTTATAAGATGCAGTTGTATATGTGCTTCTCATTTAAAACGTGCTAATTAGAAATGATGGGAACGATGAACTGATATATATATCCAGACATATGCATGCATGCATGCAGCCGCTTTAAATCTGATTCATGCATGCTTAATTAGTGTGTTAATTACTAGGGTAGTAGTCGGCTGCTCTATTAGGTGAGTAAAAAGAGAAAAGCATGGAGAACATAATTTGATTTTAAAAGCATCTTTTTGTTATGGCTGTATTTTTGAGTCATGCCGGTCGTCATTCAGAACTTTTTCGCGGTGATCGTTGTTGATGAACTCGTTTTTTTTCTTATTTCGTTTTGAACTAAATTCTTTTCATCCAACAACAATGTAATGCTAAGTGAGACCAGAAAGAAAAAGGAAATGGATCGATGGATCTCTCAACTTGAGAAAGTTGCAAAAAACATCCATCTTTTTTTTCGAGATGTGGGCGAGCTGATGAGAGCTGACTGACTGACTTCCTCATCACCTTCACATGCACCACATATGTACAAACTCCCTCCGACGTCCGCATCCATCCATTTCACAAAAACCATTTGACGTTCGTGTCTCTCTCTCTCTCTCTCTCTCTCTCTCTAGAAAGTATGTACGCAACCAGAGCAAGATAAGTAAGTAGCGGCAGCCATCGGAAGCGGACAGAAACTGCCACCTCATGCATATATACCGCACACAATTGCACAAAACGGGTAAGAAAGAAGGTCAAGCGGCCCAATCAAAACCACAACAATGAAACTACACGTGACTGAACTCGGTCGGTAGCAGCAGCAGCAGCAGCAAGACATGCACGCATTTCCACAGCACACTCTTATTCGAGATCGTCACTTACAGGTAAAAGCGCCCTCATCACGTGTTCTTCATGCCCTAATCCCTCCTTAGTGATGGATGATGATGTACTCCATTCTTTCCATTTCTAGACATTTGTAATCTGATTGTTAGTGACGGAGTCTCAAATCTAGACAAGAGGTTGATTTTTTTTTTGTTTTTAACAGGAAAACGAGAGGTTGATTTGAATTATCATAATTGAGGAAGGGAGTTAAAAACAATATCGACTGTTTTAATTTCAAAATTTGTACATAATTCTCTTGTGGTTTTACCTACACTTCAAAATTGAGGGCGGTTACAGTCGGTGATGGAGCTAGCTTGGTATATATAGGGTGGGTCCCAAAATCTACCTTGGCTCGGGATTAAGAAACAAAAATAACAATATTTGGTCTGATTCACAAGATTAAAGCTTGGTTTGGTATTTATCGTAAGGAAAATGAAAACTTCGACAAGATAAGCAACAACAAAAAAAAAAGACAAAGCGGGCAACAATTTAAATCGTTCGGATTAACTTCAGACTAACAGTTCCCCCACCCCCTCCCCGGCCATGCTGGTTTCGTAGTTGTTGGCGGCCTCTTAAGAGACCATCTTGGCAGGTGCGCACATGGGACCTTCATCTGCAACTTGGCCATGTGTTCAATCACAAGGGCAGAGCTGAAAGCTGTCGCCAAAGGATTCCGCATTGGTTGGGAAAGAGGGTACATAAAAATGAAGCTGAAGTTAGATTCCACACAACTGCCATTAACCTCATCAAGAAATCCAATGAGATCAACCACCGCCATGGTTTGCTGGTGCAACAAATTGGCTTACTTCTTAGTTATGATTGGGAGGTTGCGATATCCCATGTCCTTAGAGAGTGTAATCTTGCAGTCGATTTCTTGACTTATATAGGATCATACCTCTCATCTTGACACACATTTGTTCAACGTGTGCGACCCAAAACTTAGATACTCGCTCGTGTATAATGTCATGAATACCTCTCATGACTGTTCTATTAATACGACTTAATTAGATTGCTCTATCATCTAGAAAAAAAAAAGTAGGAAACAATAATACATTTCCTTCCTCAATTCACCGAGATATACCTCCTCCTTATTCTTATCTGATCTATTGCCCTTACATACTGATTGATAGTCCCTTCGACCATTACGTGGTTGGGACAACTCCAATGGTACTAATAACATTTGAAACCATTGAGAGATAGAGAAATACATTTGAATTTTTAGTTAGACGAATACTACTAGTACCAAATCACGACCGAGTTAGCATTTTTTTTTTTTGTAACATTTGATTTGGTCTCCTCTACCAGAATAGAAAGACCGAAATAATAATATATTTTCTATTTTCCATCCATGAATGTATAAACAAAATATATAAATAAAGCATAAAGACAGTTTTTTTTCCATTTTGTCGACTGTTCCTCTCCATATAAATTATTGACAAAATTGATTGATGGATGTTCAAGTATCAACCGTCGACAACCAGCCACTAGCTAGCTAAGCATTCCCCACCACCATTCAGTTACAATATTAATTTATTTAAATCAAATACAAAAAACAAAGAACACAAGGCGAAATTACCAATTAATTATTCAAACAAAATCCCCATAATCCAATTTTCCACACCTATAAAAACAGGTGATGAGAATTGAGAAATTGAAATTCCCAATTGTCTCCACTTCTCCCTCCACACAACAAAAACCAATCCCTTCTCTCTCTCTCTCATCGCCGCCATGGAGTTCGCCGCCGCCTTCGCCCTCCTCTTCTTCAGCTTCACCGCCGCCTTCACCTCCTTCTCCCTCCTCCTCTTCGCCGTCTGCCGCCTCGTCACCCGCTTCTGCTGCGACTGCCACGTCTGCTCCACCTACCTCTCCGCCACGTGGCGCCCCAGCTTCCCCAACCTCTCCGACTGGTTCGCCCACCTCCTCTCCGCCTCCGCCACATCAACCATCCGCGTCCACGTCACCCGCAACGTCATCACCGCCAGCCCCGCCAACGTCCACCACATCCTCAAGTCCAACTTCCCCAACTACCCGAAAGGCAAGCAGTTCTCCGCCCTCCTCGGCGACCTCCTCGGCCGGGGAATCTTCAACGCCGACGGCCACCGCTGGCTCTTCCAGCGCAAGATGGCGTCGCTCGAGCTCGGCAGCGTCTCCGTCCGCGTCTTCGCCTCCGACGTTTTCAATTCCGAGATTGAATCCCGCCTCATTCCACTACTCTCCGCCGCCGCCGGCGGCGAGCTCGACATGCAGGATATTTACCGGCGGTTTACGTTCGACACGATATCGAGATTCTCCTTCGGGTACGACCCCGGGTGCCTCGAGATTTCCTTGCCGGAGTCGGAGTTCGCGGCGGCGTTCGACGCCGCGTCGAGGCTGTCGGCGGAGAGGGCGATGGCGGCTTCGCCGGTGGTGTGGCGGGTCAAGCGGTTTTTACGGGTCGGATCGGAGCGGCGGCTGAGGGATGCGATCCGGACGGTGGACAGGCTGTCTCAGGAAGTGATCGACCGTCGCCGCCAGACGGGGTTCGCCGGGAAAAGCGATCTTTTGTCTCGGTTCATGGCCGCCGGAGTCGAAGACTCCGGCGGCCGCGACGACGGCTACCTCCGCGACATTGTGAAGAGCTTCCTCCTGGCCGGACGGGACACGGTGGCGTCCGGGCTGACGAGCTTCTTCTGGCTGACGTCACGGAATCCTTCCGTGGAGGCGAAAATAAGATCGGAAGCGGAGGAGGTTCTCGGCCGCCATCACAACGACGCCGTTCCGTCGTTTGCGGAGATGACGGAAATGCACTACCTGACGTCAGCGGTCTACGAGACGCTTCGGCTCTTCCCGCCAGTTCAGTTCGACTCGAAGTTCGCTTTAAACGACGACGTTTTGCCCGACGGGACGATAGTGAGGAAGGGGGACCGGGTGACGTACCACCCGTACGCGATGGGCCGGATGGAGTCCATATGGGGACCCGACTGCCTGGAATTCCGACCCGAGCGGTGGCTAAACGACGACGGGTTGTTCGTGCCGCGGAGTCCGTACGAGTACCCGGTCTTCCAGGGCGGGTCGAGGGTCTGCCTGGGGAAGGAGATGGCGATCGTGGAGATGAAGACCGTGATTCTGGCCGTGATCCGGCGGTTCAATGTCCGGGTGGCGGATCCGGGTCACGAACCGAGGTTTTCGCCCGGTCTGACCGCTACGGTCAGTGGTGGGCTGCGGATGGTGGTCGAGGAGGTCAAGAGATAAGCATGGTTGATGACGTGGAGGTGCCACGTAGGTGTAGGCTTGTGTGTTAGGGGGAACACCAGACTTGTAGACTGCTGACGAATGTTGACGTGAAATAGAGCTAATGACTTCATTGCCAAATGTGTTGGTGCTATGATGTGTTAATTTCTTGTCAAAATTTCGCGAGGAATTAAAAATCGTGATGTCGCAAATTTGTCTCGATCCATTCTTCTTATTCTTTCAGTCTCGCGCGTAACTTTATGACTCAAATCAGATGACATAGAAGCGTAAGCATGATGTAAAGTGCCACATTCAGTAAGATAGTCGAAAATCATACGGTTGTGTTCTTTAACGAGAGGGTTGTTATTTGGCCAAACCACGCTTTTATCTATATATTTATAAATACGATCTCTTGTACATTTGTGTTCTTTAAAGAGGGATAGAGAAGTGAGTGGTTGATTTGCAATTTATTTCGACCTACCCACCAATAATTTGAACCCCTCTATAGATGGACCGATAGCTAATATTGAGATGTTGGATTATGTGTAGGGTAAATTTCCTATCATACTTATCCGGGAAGGTGATGGATGGGTTGCGAGTCACCCGAATGACCCACGTCACTCTAACATAACAAATAATTGGATTTTTTTATATCATTGTAAGGTTATCATCTTATTTTTTTAATTGTATCACACGCTAACCATCCAATTCTACCAAGCAAACTCATCCAACCTAACCAAAGGAGAAATGAGATGAATAATGAGTGTACCAATTTTAAGTTAAACGTAGTATGTATCAGTTTATCCCAACCCATCCAAAAATTCCAAACCCGAGCCTATTTTAAGAAAGTTGCTGGACTCTAATTATTTCTGCCTCTTGTAAGTTGTAACGTGATACAGTAGATTTCCCATAATAAGCTGCACGATAATAAATTGGATTGCAGTAATTAGGTGAGAGTTTTTAATTGTTTACGGGGTCGATTAAATGGAACTTTTGCTAATTAAGAACAATATTCGATTTCTCTCTGCGCAGTGTACTGCTTGTCGTTTTGCTTAATAAAAGGAATCTGGCATCTTCCGTTAATAAATTTTATCAAACAAATATAAACTAGTTAATTAGCATAATTACTTGCAACCACACATTGAATGTGTTCAACAATCAATCTCCGATAATAAGATTGGCAGCGATCGGCCAACCGATCAAGTTGATAATAACATAGGAAACATGGTGATGCATGTCTCGTCAAAACATTTCCGATCAACATTTTTCTTCTAAAGTACCAAAGATTCCCACTCGGTTTATTTAACGATTAAGTCATTCTCAAAAGTAATTTGTATGCGATCGTACGTCTAATCAATATTGTCAGTAGGTAGTCCACCTCACCTCCTCTCATTTACATCTCTATTATAAAAATAAAAAAAATACGTTGGACGTTTCGAATTAGACATTAGTGACGGCGAATTAGAAACATGCTTCTCATGTTACACATTAATTGCATAAGAAAATTAATCATCTTCTTCTCTATACCATCAGAAAGCAGTTCTAGGGCGCACTAATCCCTGTTAATGATGAACCCACTTAGTTAAATTGGTGATAGAGTTGAGATCATAGGTCTATATTATTCTATTCTACAGCACGCCAACCAAGCTGATCAGTCTGTATTAACTATTAATTACGATAAGTTGGCAATAAGCTTTTTATAAGTTATGTTCTTTTATTAATCCATTTTTATCTATTCTGAATAAGATTGTTTACGCCAAAAGATATTTTCTTTGAAATATTACTCTACACGGGTGGTATTTGGAGAATTGGACTGCTTTTAATAGCTCAGCCCGTATATACTAAATTGACCTAGTTGATGTGCTAGCCTGTTAGGTAACTCGGTGCAAGCGTGGCCAATTTGGCCATGCAGTTTCATCAATACCATTCAATAACACGGATATTATCGAGCTTCCTACGTGGATGATATCATTTAACATCATAAATATATGTTGAGTATCAATGATTTAACGGTTAAAGCGACCAACTCATAATTGATGAATTCCTAGGCATCCAAATTCCTAAGTAAATGGCATCATCCATCTTGAATGCAACCGTGCGAGCTACTTTTCGAGAAGAGGAGAGATCGCAGTTAGGGAGCTGTAAAAGTAAAATTTTGCAGCAGTTACTTGAAGAGAGAGAACATCATTCCACACACAGGCAACTTGTTTTTGTTCATTCCCCCCTCCTTTTCCTCTGTAACCGTAATTACGGTTCTCTCATTTCATGAATGATCATCTATAGTCATAGTCTTATAGTTGTTGTCGCAGAGCTTTCTAGAAATCTTCATAGAAGCAGTGTAACATAATGTAGATTTCTCATACACCAAACACTCTCGTTCGACTAGTGTTTGAATATATGTGAAAAGTAGCAACAATTATCATATTTTTCATTAATTAATTGATCTATTTAACGAACAAGTCATTATCCAAAAGTAATTTGTCTGCGATCGTACGTCTTATATCGACGCGACCAGTAGATGATCTACCTTACCTTTATATATATGTGATCACAAACTAATATTCATAATCAGAATTAGACATTAGAATATTGAGTACAAACATAAGCGACAAAGAATTAGAAACATGCTTCTCATGTTACTTACATATTGCATAAGAAAATTAATCAACTGCTTCTAGATATATACACCAACAGAAAGCAGTTTCTAGGTGCACTAATTCCCTGTTAATGATGAACCCACTTACTTAATAGGAGAGTGCATATAATAAAGTTCTACATATAGTATATTCTACAGCACGCCAAGCTGATCAGTATGTATTAAGATATGTTACAATGACGAGGAGTTAAGGCCCTCTTAATTTGAAACTGGCCTATTAAGATATGTATTCAGGTTTATAACTGGCCTATAATTTAAAAATTACACGTTGGAATTCTTTAAATAACATGTAACAATAAAAACAAATTTAGAAATCGTTTGGAAGTTTCAATTGTAGTACTATTGTGAATACATATGTATAATATTATACATGTATGGATAAATTTAATGCATTGTAAAATACTGCGTTTGGTAATGTGTGATTGTATATGTCAGTTGTCACCATCAACTAAAAGGTGAAACAAAACAATTTCAACTAAAAGCTGCAATCACCCATTATAAGTGATAGTTTTAGTCACGTCAAAAAAAAAAACAATCCATATATTAAAAAACAATACAAATATAACAACTTCCAAATGAAACATTATTCGTGACTATGCACCATAAACAAATAGTAATTGTCGCTTAGGCAAATGTGGGAAAGCCTTCTTTCACACCCTGAAATCCCAAAAGGAGCGCCTAGTTTTTCCACCAATACCAGTACATAGTTTAAATGGATAATATCATATTACTAATAACTATGGGCCTCCGATCATGGGCTCGACGTCACTCAACAGCCCGCAAGCCCACGATCCCCTCGACGTCCATCGCATCAGCCTGCTCTCGAACCACCTTCCAAGCCTCAACGACGTGTCGAGTCTCCGTCAGCGTAGCACCGACCGCCAGCCTCAGCATGTAAATCCCTCCGGCCACGGCATGCGTCATGAACACACGACCCGACCCGTTGATCGACTCGAGCAGCTTCTTGTTCAACAAATTCGCGACTCCATCGTCGACGACGCATGAGTTGCCACGACGGCGGCGAGCTCCAGCCACCATCCTGAAACAGACCATCGAGAATCGACGAGGGACGACGATCTCGAACCTCGCGTCCTCGACCACGAGCTTCTCGAACTCCTCGGCCATCCTGACGTGGCTCCTCAGGAAGTTCCGCAGGTTAGCCACGCCGTTGCTCCGGAGGACCATCCACAGTTTCAGGGAGCGGAACCTTCTGCTCAAGGTCACCTGTCAATAGAGTTAGACAAATGGATGATTAGTAACCACAATGACATAATAAAAAGATTTCAGGTACTAAGACGTAATCTTCAATAATACTTTATGCAAAAAAATAAAATGCAGGTATCAGAAACATTTTAAAGTATATTATAAGTTCAATAAAGCATATTAGACACCACATAAAGTATATCACAAGTTCTTTAAAGTATACCGAAAATCTCATAAGGTTAGACCTATTTAATAATTTTTAATCATCAAACTGTAAGGCATAAAAATTTTAGGCACTGCAATTTCCATAAATATTTTAGATACTAAACCCCAACATCTATTAAGTTAAGTATCACGCAGTAATTTTTTTTATGAAACCCTAATCAATATAATATTGGACAGGGAGGTTCTGTGGGTAGTGAGTTACTATGACACTCTAATTAATAAATTATGTTAACATGATACTAATACTAAGGGTAGTGAGTTACTATGACACTCTAATTAATAAATTATGTTAACATGATACTAATACTAAGGGGTGTTAGCACCTTATACTATCTTCAAAATCGTCACCACTACCTGCCAGTCCTTGTAGTCTATCACGCCTCCCTCATCGGAGACCTGGTTCCTGAGGTACTCGGGATTGGTAGACAACGATCTCCTGAGCGCGCTCGGGTCCTTCACCCAGAGGCAGCAACAGTCCAGCGTGGTCAGGAACCACTTGTGCGCGTTCAAGCTGAACGAGTCCGCCCCTTCCACGCCGTCAATCACGTGACGAAACTCCGGGCACATGCACGCCGCCCCCGCATACGCCACGTCGACGTGGACCCAGATGTCGTGCTCCCTCGCCACCCGGCACAGGGGAAGTAGCGGGTCGACGGTCGCCGTCGGGGTGGTCCCGACCGTCGCGCACAGGAACAGCGGGACCAACCCACGTTCCCGGTCGGACCGAACCGCCCGGTCCAATTCGTCCGGGCACAACCCAAACGACGTCGTTTTGCTCGCGGGCACCACCCGAACATTCCCCTGTTTTATCCCCACGATCTTCGCAGCTTTTTCAAACGCGCAGTGGGTTTGATCGGAGCAGTAAACCACCAGCTTCCCGATCCCGATCTCTCCTTCCCCGATTTCGGCCAGTTTTCGGTGTCGCGAGCAGAGCCTCGCAGGTCGTCCCCATAATTACTCCTCCGCCGTTGCCAGAGAAGAGGAAGGGCTTCGGGAGGTTTAATAATTCTCCGAGCCAATCCATTACTATAGCCTCGAGCTCCGTCGCCGCCGGCGACGCCACCCAGCTGAATCCGACTGTTGAACAGAATAGATTTTATGATTGTTATGAATCGTTATTCATCTTCTCATTGATACAGAGTGAACTATTATACAGGAATGGGGAGACAAATTAGGAGCATTAGCAACAAACTGCTATGCACGTCCCATGGGTATAGGAACAGAAAAGTAGTGGGAAGGAATTAAATAAATGAAGAAAATCATTTATCTCTAATACGCCCCCGCAAGACGGACGGTGTAGCAACAACGCCGATCTTGGAACGTAGAAGATGGAAGCGAGCAGCAGGCAACGGTTTGGTGAGGACGTCCGCGAGCTAATGAGCGGTTGGAATATATCGCACCACAAGACGATTGGCCTGAACAAGCTGACGGACAAAATGATAGTCCAAGGCCATATGCTTCATTCGGGAATGGAAGATAGGGTTGGAGCAGAAATATGTAGCACCGAGATTGTCCGAGTATAGAGTGGGGGGAGTGCAAAGTGGGTGATGAAGCTCAGTAAGGAGGTTTTGAACCCATTCGATTTCCGCAGTGGCATGAGCGATGGCCCTGTATTCGGCCTCAGTGCTGGAGCGGGCAACGGTCCGTTGCTTTTGAGACTTCCAAGAGATGAGAGTGGAGCCAAGATATAGGAGATACGCCGAGGTCGATGATCGATCATCCTGATTGCCAGCCCAATCCGAATCGGCAAAGGCAGACAAGGCAAGGGGCTGTGGAGAACGATGAATAGCAAGGCCATGGTCAAGAGTACCAACAACATACCGGAGCAAGCGTTTAACAGATTGCCAATGCGAAGTGGTAGGCGCATGCATGTACTGGGACAGTTTGTTGACAGAGTAAGCAATATCCGGTCTGGTGTAGACCAAGTATTGAAGAGCCCCAAGGATCTGGCGGAAACGAGTGGCATCAGTGGGTGGAGTGCCGTCAGAGAGCGAAAGCGAGGCAGTAGAGGGCATGGGAGTAGGCATGGGTGCAGCATCCAGCATGTCAAAACGGTGAAGAATCTCCTTGATATACTTATGTTGAGAGAGAAGATAGCCCGTCGAGGTAGGGATGACCTCAATGCCGAGAAAGTAGTTGACATCGCCAAGGGTCTTCAAGGAGAATCGCCGTGAGAGAGCCTCACGAAAGGTAGAGAGGAGACGGTCATCATTCCCTGTGAGCAAAAGATCGTCCACATAGACAAGGAAATAGAGCAGGACACCACCACGATTATAGACAAAAAGTGAGGAATCAGAGAGGGACTTAGTGAAGCCGAACTCGAGGAGGAAGGTGCTCAGTACCGTATACCAAGCTCTGGGAGCTTGACGGAGACCATAGATTGCGCGCTTGAGACGACAGACGTGATGAGGACGCGTCGGATCGATGAAGCCGGGGGGCTGAGCCATGTAGACTTCATCCTGGAGAGGGCCCTGAAGGAATGCATTGTTGATGTCGAAGTGAGCAATGGACCAATTGTTTGATAAGGCTAGAGTGAACACAGTACGGACAGTGACTGGCTTGACCACTAGACTGAAGGTATCGCCGAAGTCTACACCGGGACGCTGAAGATAACCCTTGGCAACCAACCTCGTTTTAAAACGAGCAATGCAACCATCAGGATTGCGTTTGACACGAAAGACCCACCGGTTGCCGAGGACGTTGTAATGAGGGAGACGAGGAACAAGATCCCAGGTCTCGTTGGCATGGAGTGCTTGATTTTCAGCGGTGAGAGTATCTGACCATTCAGGATAAAGGAGTGCTTCCTGGACAGAGGCTGGCTCAATAGGCGGAGAAGAGGGAGCAGGGGTCCGAGCAGCTGTAGTATGGAACAGTTTCTTGGGCCGAAATATTCCATCTTGGGACCGCGTGCGCATTGTATGAGTCCGAGCAAGAGGTGGTGGTTGGGCCGGCTGGGAAGGCCCAGGTGGAGGAGTGGTGGGTGGTACGTGAGGCCCAGTGTCCGGAGAGGAGCCCGATGATGTTGAAGAGGAAGCTTCGGAAGAGGCAGCTGTTGTTGAGGGAGAGTCGGGCCCTGGCGGAGTGGGGATGGCAGGTGTGTGTATGGGCCGAGCTGCGGGAAGAGTGGACACAACAGGACTGGAGTCCAATAACCAGGTCGCAGGCGAAGGAGGTACACCGGCAGCAGTGGATGAAGAAAAACCTGGGAACACATCTTCCACAAATTGAACATGACGAGAAAGATAAATACGATGGGTAAGTGGATCAAAACAACGGTAGGCACTCCGTTGGGGACAGTAGCCCAGGAAGAGGCAGGGGCGGGAGCGAGGGTCAAGTTTGGTGGTGGAGTATGGACGAAGCCATGGGTAACATAAACATCCAAAAATGCGAATTTTATGATAGTTGGGTGGGTGATTAAATAGAAGGGTGTAGGGAATGTGGCCACGAAGAGCAGAGGAGGGCATACGATTAATAAGATAAATGGCGGTGGAGAATGCATAGGACCAAAAAAGAGTGGGAAGACGAGCATGATGAAGAAGAGTGATACCGGTTTCGACCAGGTGTCGATGCTTACGTTCAGCTAATCCATTGTGCTCCGGGGTGTGAGGAGGAGTAAGCAGATGGCTTATCCCATGAGTACGGAGAGAAGAGCAAAGTTTTTGAAATTCACCACCACCATCTGTGTAAATGCGTCGAATGGTGGTAGAAAAATAGTTCTCAATCATGGTTCGAAAATCTAAAAATACCTGAAGCACATCAGATTTGCGACGAAGGGGATAATACCATGTGTAACGGGTGAAGTGATCAACAAGAATTAAATAGTACTGAAAACCATCAATTGAGGTAACAGGAGCAGGGCCCCAAACATCAGCATATAAAAGATCAAAGGGTCTAGTACTGGAAAGGGATGAAACACCAAAGGGGAGTTTATGAGATTTATTTGAAAGACAGGCATCACAATGACTAGTAAAAGATGCGGAAGAAACCGGTAGAGCATGAGAACGGAGTAAAGTGCGGAGTGACTGATCGGAAGGATGACCCAGCCTAGAATGCCATGAATTTGTGGAAGTGCGAGTGGTAACCAACGCCATACGAACAGGTTCTGTCTCCGGTGGCAGCTCATACACATCACCTTTGTTTTCCCCTCTCAACAGCGGCGCCCCCGTGCGAAGATCCTTAACAACAAAATGCGTGGCAAAAATTCCACGGACACCGGGTTAGTACGACATAATTGAGCCACGGAAATAAGACGCTTTTTAATAGCAGGAACATGTAAAACGTCATGTAACGAAAGAGTGTGAGAACCAGTTGAGAGTTGAGAAGAGCCGATATGGCTAATCCGCAAACCTGAGCCATTGCCAATAATAATTTCATCAGGGCCTGCATAGTCGGAATAGAGTGACAAATTGCCAAGGTCTGCAGTCACGTGATGGGAAGCGGCCGAATCCATTAGCCAAGGATTGGGCTGGGTGGAGCTGGGCGCAAAAAGAGAGGGATCAGTATTGGTGGAGTGCGCCTGAGCTTGCCGGTGCTGAATATGGGCCTGGCGGGCTTGGGGAAACAATTGGAAACACTGGCGCACAGAGTGCCCAGGTTTTTCACAAAATTGACAGATCAACCGGGCCCGACGAGGAGATGCAGAAGACATGCTGCCAGAGGAAGATGGGCCTGAGAAGGCCGGATTAAATGGCCCAATGGCCCGTGTGAGCCCTCCTGGATGGGAACGCGGAGAAGAGGCGTCGGTGTAGGGTTGTTGGAGAAGTCCGCCGCGGGAGGGTCGCTGGAGAAGTCCGCCGCGGGAGGAGTCGGAGCTACCTGGGCGCTGTCCTTGGGTGTAGAAGGCAGTGGGTACTGTCGTCGACTCCCTAGCTTTAAGATCAGCTTCATATTCCACCAGTGAATCAACTAGATCCTTAAGGGTGAGACCTGGGCCTCGGGCACGAACGGTGGCGGAAAAAGATTGGAATTCATCACCAAGACCTCGAAGGCAATGAACCACAAGGTCGAGGTCTTTGACAGGCTCTCCAATGAGAGCAAGCTCCGCAGCTGTGGTCTTAATCTCGTTGACGAACGAGAGGATGTCACGATTTCCTTTGACAGATTTTGCAAGCTTGCCTTTCAGATGGATGATTCGTGACTGGGCATTGCTGGCATATAACTTCTCCAAAGTCAACCAAGCATCACGAGCCGTCGTAGCCGCCGAGACAAAAGAGTAAATTGATTCATCGATTGAACATCGCAGGGCATGAAGAATCAGTTTGTCTTGCCTGAACCAATGGTGATAATCTGGATTGGGTGCAGTGGTAGCATCGATGGTGATGGTTTGAGCTGGAGCGGCGACGGTACCGTCGATGAAACCAATTAGATCGAGTCCCATGAGAAGGGTTTCCAGCTGGGATCTCCATGAAGCAAAATTCGTCGGAGTTAATTTCAGGGGAAGTTGTGCAGCCGGATTGAAGGTAATAATTGGATCTCTGAACTTTTGGATCCTTTGCTCGAGTCTGAGGCAGTTGAGTCTCCAGCCATATTGATAATCAGCGGAGGAAATTGAAGGTGAACGAAAGCAGAGTTTGAAAGAAGAAGAAGACAGATAGGGTAAAAAGGTATGGATCGAATTCTAGCTGATCATTGCTAGCTCTGATACCATGTTGAACAGAATAGATTTTATGATTGTTATGAATCGTTATTCATCTTCTCATTGATACAGAGTGAACTATTATACAGGAATGGGGAGACAAATTAGGAGCATTAGCAACAAACTGCTATGCACGTCCCATGGGTATAGGAACAAAAAAGTAGTGGGAAGGAATTAAATAAATGAAGAAAATCATTTATCTCGACGTTTAGCCCGGCGGCAAGGAGCTCCCCGAGGATTCCGGCCGTGCTGGCGGTGCAGGGGAAGTAGGCGAAATGGGAAGGGTGCTGCCAGTGAGTGATTCCAGGGATTATGTGGGTTTCAATGTCTTTGATGATTTCTTCGATTGGTTCGGCGGCGAAAGGAGCCGAGTGAGGGAGGAGATGGCGGAGGTAGCTGGTTTGACCTGGCTCAAAACAGGGTAATGTTCGATGTTGTTGTAGTAGTCGGCGATGAAGTCGACTACCATGTGGCCTTGTCGCCGGAATTCCTCGGGATTCAAGGGGTGAACAACGTTATGAGGTGATTGCGGTTCGTTGTCGGTGAACTCGTGGCTGGTCATGGCAGGAGTGGCAAAGAATGTGGAGGAAGATGACTTTGGGAGCATGAGATGGTGATTGATATTTGGAGGGAGTGATGCATTTCAATTGGGATGGCCATACTCTCACTTACTTATATAGTGCAATTCGGGAGGCTTATATGGCATAATAATACATCATCGTTGGGTATTCAACCAAAGTTGAACTGATTTTATCGGGGAAAATTCAACTAGTATTATCTATGGTGGGTTTTCCTCAAATTCCACAAGGAGGGTAATAGAGTTTCGTGGCGGGTGCGATTTTGATATTTTAAGTATCCACACCGAACCCGCTCGCGATTATGTGTTATAACTTTGTTGTAGAGTCATTTCACTTAAACATACTTTGTTCATGAATATCATTCGAATATTAAAATTATCTCTTAGACCTCGAATCTTACTCATTTTCACACGGTTTTACAAACAATGTGACAAAAAAAAACTTTAACTAACAGTGACGTCCTAAGAAACGAAAAAATTCGTCGCTGAAACTCCAAAATCCGTCGCTGAATGTTTCTGCGACAACCAAATCGTCGCCAAATCCTTCCATCTTCCGTCGCCTATACCGCGTCGCCCTAGCTTTTAGCGACGACATTTTACGATTCATCGCCAAAAACCATCATTCGTCGATGAAAAGTTATGCTTCAGCGATGACATTTTCGTCGCTAAAACGCTGGATTTGGCGACGAACAATTTTTATCGTCGCACAAGGGTGCCTCACTATTAGCTTTAGCGACGATCAATTTGTCGTAAATAAGTTCTTCAGCGACGAATTTAGTCTTGGGTGACAAATTACATCGTCGCTAGAAATAGCTACCACCTTTTTAGCGACGAAATGATTCGACGCCAAAAACACAGATTTGGTAATTTTGTAATTCCGGCTGTTATACCTGTTTCCTTCCCAAGCCACCCTCTTTTTTAGGATGCGCCATTCTATCCCAGCTGATTCTAGCTCTTCCCTCCTCCTCTCCATGCCACAAAAAACACGAACATATCTTCTGTACCTGCTTCGACACTTTTTTAAGGAGCATAAAAACTTGCATCCAGTACTGTAGGACCCCCATCAACACTGAAGAGACTAACTGAAGGCGACCTGCATAGCTGAGCCGCTTTGCCCTCAAAGACTTTATCTTTTGAGTAATTTTGGCTACTAATTTCTCACATTCCAAAGCAGAAAGCTTTCCAGATATCAATGGCAAGCCCAAATACATCACTGGGAGTTCTACCTCCTGGAAACCAGAAACTTGGATTGCCATGCTCTTAAACAGCACAGACATCCCCCAAAATAAACCTCGCATTTTGCAGGGTTACATTTCAAGTCGGACAAATAATAGAACTCAGAGAGTGTCTCCTGCACCCTAGAGATGACAGTCCTTGACCCCTCAGTAAAGATAAGAAGATCATCAGCAAAACTCAGATGAGTAAGCTTCACTTTTCTGCACTGCGGGTGGTAAGGCAATCGTCCAATGGTAGCAGATTCATTCAATAACAGAGAAAGCCCTTCCATCGCAATGGTAAAAAGGTAGGGTGAAAGAGGATCACCCTGCCTAACCCCCTTTTGTGCAAAAAAAACATATATATATATATATATATAAAATACAATTTCAAAAAGCAGAAACCTGTAACACCAATGTTATATAGCATTGTAAAATTCGTCAAAGAATATTAGGCATCTACTGTTTCCACAACAGAATTCGGAATCAGAAGCCATCCTTCAGGGAAGGTATCTACCTGCTTTGTCGGGGCTTACCGATCATGAACATTGCAGGGGACCGGTTATTGTAACAACACCCATTGTGTTGTTATTGTAACAACACTAGTCCCCAACCAATAGGAAGCTAGGATTGTGATGACTTTTTATTAGATGAGTTGACCTAGTGTAAAATCAAAGCAGGGGTATAATTGTCTTTATGAAAAATCTATTTAAATAAAAAATAAAAATAAAAAATAAAAAGTTTTAAAAAAATATTTTTTTATTTTCTGCCCAAAAATTTGGTCGTCGGAATTCTGCCACCGGTCGCCGGAAAATAGTCGTCGGTCACCGGAATATGCTTTTTGTCGCCGGAATATGCTATTTTGTGGCCGGAATATGCTTATCGGAGTCGGAATATGCTTACCGGCGTCGGAATATGCTTACCGGCGTCGGAATCTAGTCACCGGGGCCGGAATATGCCTATCGGCGTCGGAATCTGCTCACTGACGGTCATCGGAGTTCGGTCAACGGTCAACGGTCTTCGTTGACCGGTCAACGGTCAACGACCACCGGATGTTATGGTTAGCATTGTGAGATTTATGGTTTGGTTTCTCATATTTTTTTATGCCTTTTATGGTTTGTTTTATTGTGTTTGTGGTTTGCATTGAAAAGTTTCTGGTTTGTTTTCAAAAACTTTGTGGTTTGCATTGTGAGGTTTCTGGTTTGTTTTAATATATTTGTGGTTTGCATTATGACGTTTATGGTTTGCTTTTTGTGGTTTGATTTACTGTGTTTGTGGTTTGCATTATGAGGTTGCTGGTGTGCTTTCGCAAATGTTGTGGTTTGCATTGTGGGGTTTGTGGTTTGTTTTAGGAGATTTGTAGTATGCATTAGGAGGTTTCTGGTTTGCATTACGAAGTTTCTGGTGTGATTTCGAAATTTTTGTGGTTTGCTTTGCGAGGTTTTTGGTTTGTTTTGATATATTTGTGGTCTGCATTAGGACGTTTTTGGTTTGTTTTACCGTGTTTGTGTTTTGCTTTACCGTGTTTTTGGTTTGCATTAGGGGGTTTCTGGTGGGCTTTTCAAAATATTTATGGTTTGTTTTGTGGGGTTTATGATATGTTTTAACGAATTTGTGGTTTGCATTAGGAGATTAACGGTATATTTTTTGTGGGTTGTTTTATTGCGTTTGTGATTTGCACTAGGGAGTTTTTGGTGTTAGAAATATTTGCTTTCCTAGCCCCCTTTGCTTATGTACTCGAAAAGTAAAGACTATGAAAGCTGCAGCAGCCATTACAGGACTGTTCCAAGTCAGGCTCTCCAGGACTGTTCCAAGTCAACTCGTTAATTTTCCAGGGAGGGATTTCATCCGAGAGGGAGATTGATTCAATATTATTCAACAAGAATCCTGCAATTGGTACCGTAGTTAGTAAAATCCAATACTAGCTAGACAGGGGGAATCATAATTGTTTTAATTAACTAATAACTAGTTATTGTAACAAGATGCCTCTGTGCTCACTCTCTTCTGTCAAATTTCTCCATCTCCTCCCCAGAAATTCCCATACATACATATATACCTGCAGTGAGGGCATATATATTAACATATGGCGATGAACTTGAAGCACCCTTTACCAACTTGCGATGATGATCTCCAACATGGCTGTCGAGTGAAACGCAGCCAGATCTGAAACCATTGCTAGGGTTTTCGACACTACTGTGAAGAAAGGAAGGAAGGAAAGAAACGACCAGTGGAGGAAAAGGAAGGCTCCAAGCCAAAAGAGAATTGGGCCGTTTGTGGGAATCGCTATTCTCGGCACGTTAACTGCCGCTCTTTTCTTCAATTCCCCGCTGCAACTCAATCTCGGTTCCACTTTCTCCTCCTTCAACTTCAATTCGCTTCTGCAGCGACACCAGGTAGCTTCCCGCCACCATCGCCATTTCTTCTTCTTCATTTCCTCCCGTTCCTCAACTTCCGTTTCTGTTTGACTTGGCGGTTTAATTTTGCTGTTGCCAATTCGCCAGAGACTCTTCACTGCAGAGACGCTTGCTCTGTACAACGGGACCGACGAATCATTGCTTCTCTTTCGCCTTCAAAGACTGGCGACGCCGGTGAGGAAATAACGCCGCCGCCGTGTAGCGCCAGGCCTTCCACGTTCAGCAACGCCGCCGTCGCGATCCACAGGCGAAGCGCTTGCTGTTCCTGCGAGCGACGTGGAGTGGTCAGAAGGTTCAGATTGGGCGGCGCGGCGTCGGGGGAGTATGTGAGGAGGAGCGATATACGCGAGGAAGGAAATAAGTAGAATATTAATTTTTTTATTTGTTAGATATTGTGTTAATGGACCCTTTTACCCTTGTTGTTACTATAACAACAAAGGAGGTGTTGTTATAGTATCCGCTCCCACATTGCAGGTATGCACGTACTATGAATCCTCTATGCGGCCTCAAAAGGGAAAGCAAAATAGGTTTCTTGATGAAAGCTTCATCAACCAAAAATACCACCAAGCTTAACTAACCGATCCTTTGAAGGCCAGCTATCCAAAGGTACTGAATGTTTAGTAAGACATGTATGTGGTTATCCTAATACTCATGTTCTTCTCGTACTAAGTGCGGATTACGTTAGATAGAACCTGTGTGTGTGAGTGTTGAATAGGGTACGTTGATATGTTTTAATGTGTGTAATTTCTCGAATTTTACATGAAAGAACAATGGAAAAATACATTTTTAAATAAAAAAGCTGGAGAATTTATATAAGAAATGGAGGTTGGCATTAAGTAATAACTACATTGTTTTACATGAGAAATTGACATTCATACTAATCCATTTGATCCAATTGATGAATTTACCAAGTGAATTCATATCTATGAATTCGTCAATCCGAAAATCCAAACCATTTGTTACCTCCTCTTACAAATAGGGTTGTCCATTTGGTTTTGGTTTTTTGGTTTAACCGAAACCAAACCAATTGGAAAGCTAATGGTTTCAGTTTTTTGGTTTTAAACCAATAAGCAACTTAATGGTTTTGGTTTGGTTAAAACCGAAAAACCAATAAAAACTATTAAGAAACCAATAAGAATAAAATTATTTACCAACAAATATTTTTCTTTCTTTTGACACGCATGCCAACCAATAATTAGTTATGGCCATTTACCATTATTATGACGTTTATTCAATAAAAAGGAGGAAAATAGGAATAAATATGAGTGTATGAGTACATGTTGGTTTTTTGGTTATCCAAACCAAAACCAAAACCATTAAGACCCTTATTGGTTTTTGGCCAAAAACCAATAAGGGCCTTAATGGTTTTGGTTTTGGTTTTTGGGATTTGATTTTTGGTTTTTCATACTTAATGGTTTGGTTAACCAAACCAAACCAAATTGACAGCCCTACTTACAAATATGAAGTTCTTGGAAGTATTCTAGGGTGATCTTGGATGATAGTTCTGCATCAAACAGATTTCTCGGAAGAGAAGCTTACGATGAGGTAATTTTTTAATGTTTGAATGTTTTGTTTGTTCTTCCCAAAAGTTTATCAAACTTATTCAGAAGGTATGTATTGGACTTCTTGTGGCTTGGTGAGGGTTAAAGCAGAGCTAAGTATTCGTTTCAAAAATTAGAATAATCTCTAAACTGTAAATAATTTGAAGATTCTATTTTTTTTATATTGTTGAATACGGATTTTGAAATTTGCATTATTTAGTAACTGCGAGTTGTTTATATTAAATAAAAATATAAATTCTATTTTTTATCAAATGAAATGTTTACTCTTAACTAGAAAAGTCAAAACGACTCTAAAAATATTGAGAATTTATTGATAATTCTATTTAGTGGGAGCAATAAAAAAAGATATAAAGAACAATGGAAAAAAATATCACAAATCAACATATAGAATTTTTCTATCTCAACGTCAAAGGTCTCATAGATCAACTGGTAAAACTCTCGAGAGACCCTCGATGGGAAAGTGTGAGGTCCCATGTTCTATCCACCTCGAAACCAGTTGTGGTGTTCCTAGAGGCATCAAAAGAGGATCTTAGTGGAGAGCTCAAAGGGCTCAAGGCCTCAAGCAGGTGAGGTGAACCTCTAGGTTTGATCTCACTCCGCCACTATTCAAGTGACACCTAAGTTTGATAATTTAAACAAATTTGGCAGCCCAAAAGGAATGTCAACTCTCTGATTTTGTGCTTGCATGACATTGCAATTTCTCGAATATATTTTGAGCAGTACACGTTGTTTGAAGCAGGGCTGCCTAATCTCCTCTAGTACAGGATTGTTAGCACTAGCAGCAGTAGCAGTGACCAAAGATCAAGGGAGCAACAGAGGTTGACTAAAGACCATAACGTGTATTTTTCATGTTTCTCCCCATGTTGTTGCTGCTTTGTATTTTGCAGCTCTAATTATGATTAATTTGATATCTCTAGATTTTGGAGATTTAAAATTTTCAAAGTTTAAAACTACATTACAAAAAGTCTTAAAACTACATTACAAAAAGCCTTAAAAATACACGATCTTATAATGAATCTATTGTCCAAATCCTTTTCACCAAACAAACTAAGTCACTTGGAATATCGCAACTTCAAAAAAGAAACAGGGGGAATGGGAGTTAGAGATATGCAACATTGAAGTATGATGTGTACGGCCTCGATAAGGCTTTTTTTTTAATAAAGGTGATATACGTTTTGTTTTTAATTAGATGTTATTCGAATCTATGATTCTCAGGTTCAATATCAGTGATATTACCACTAGATAAAGTCCTTTTTGTCGATAAGGATACTTTTATTGTAAGAGCGTCGTCCCATTGGTCTCGTCATTTTTAACTAAACTTCTATCGACTTACGATCGAATTCACCTAATCTAAACATAGTCATCACTATTATCCCCCCAAACGGAATGTATGCCACATTTTTTTCTTTCCGTCTATACCTCGAATGAACGAAAGTCCCATTGGATTTTTGTAAAAATTAACTTAGACGGTAATTAACTTAAATTTGATATCATATTCGATATGAAATTCATCCCAATTTTGAGGTGAAGGATTCAGCATCTCTATGGAATGAAGTTCTCTACATCATAACAAGCGAGTTCATTCATCACTTACAATCCCACAAGTCCACAACCTCAATTAAGATAAATCCTATTAAGCAAAGACTACTAGAATAAAATAAAATAAAATAAAATAACAAATAATTAGAGGGTAGGATATGAGGATTAAACAATAACTAAATCATAGTTCACATCATATTATGCTCTCCATTTATAAATATTCTTTTCATGATTGAAGTTTTTAACATCTCTACGAGAGAAAAATTGAACCCAAAATCTTTTTGATCTTTGAGTCGATTATATGTATATTTTTTACTTCCTGAAGCCAAACTGAAGCCCATGTAATTGAACGAAAATTATTTGGGGGCCCATGCCGATTTGTTGGGCCAGGATAAGCCCAAAGAGGAATAAAACAGAAACGTCGTCTTTCAGCTCGTGGAGCGTAAATGGCGCGGCAAACCCAGCTCGTGCTGGGCTATGATCTCTAGGGTTTCTTTTGAAATTTCCCCACCAAAATTCCAAAACCCTGATTCCTTCTTCCCCTTAACCAGCTTCCCCCGCCCAGATTCTGCTTCACCATCCATCCATCCATGGCTGCCACGCTGAGGAAGAAGAAGCCGAAGAACCAATCTGCGGAAGCTCAATTCAACTACAACCTCAACTCCCACTCCAAATCCAAAGACCTCCGCTCGGCCCTCTCCCTCTACGACTCCTCCACCGGTGGAGAAACCGCCGTCCGTCTCAGCCAGCACCACTTCAATACTCTGCTCTACCTCTGCTCCATCTCCCTAGCCGACCCATCGGCCAAAGACCTTGCCTTGGAGCATGGGTTCCGCATATACGATCACATGGTCGCCTCCGGGGTTAAACCCAACGAGGCCTCCATAACCTCCGTCGCTCGCCTCGCCGCCGCGAAAGGGGACGGTGGCTACGCTTTCGATTTGGTGAAAAACTTGATCGCCGAGAAGTCATTGCCCAGGCTGCGGACTTATGACCCGGCCTTGTTCTGCTTCTGCGAGAAGTTGGAGGCGGACAGGGCGTTTGAAGTCGAGGAGCACATGGGAAGCAACGGAGTTGTTCTGGAGGAAGCGGAGCTCGCTGCATTGCTTAAGGTGAGTTCCGAGACTGGTAAACAACAGAAAGTTTACGAGTATTTGCAGAAATTGAGGAAGGCTGTGAGGTGTGTGAGGCAGGAGACTGCTGATGTGATTAGGGATTGGTTCGATCGGTTTGATTGCGATGGGGTGGAATTAGATGTGGGTTTGATTAGAGATGCCATTGCTAGGAATGGTGGGGGATGGCATGGCTTGGGATGGACTGGTGAAGGGAAGTGGGCTGTTGAGAGAGGGAGAGTTGATGTTGCTGGCAAGTGTTTATGTTGTGGGGAGCAATTGGCTTGTGTTGATATTGCTGAAGAAGAAACCGAGATGTTTGCTCGATCAATAACAGGTTTGGCTCTGGATAGGGAGGTCAAGGCCAATTTCAGTGAGTTTCAGGTTAGTTATCATTTGACTTGATGATGGATTACTGTCGAAAACTGAATCAGAGTTGAACATGGTAAAGTTTCTTGAAGCTCATGGTTCTTTTGGGATGTCTGTATGTATATTTAACAGGATTGGCTGGAGAAGAATGGCCATTATGAAGCTATAGTAGATGCAGCAAATGTGGGCCTCTACCAGCAGAATTTTTCAGAAGGGGGATTCAGCATCTCTCAGGTTGTGAAATTTAGACATGGAAGTTATGTTCTGTCCTTCCTTTTAAAGATTGAATAGACTGCTAATTTCCGCTGGTTATTGTGCTTTTCTTTGTATTGATATAGAGCAGCTTGATGCTGTAGTGAAAGAGCTGTACAATAGAAATGGGAAGAAATGGCCACTGATAGTCTTGCACAACAAGCGTGTTCGAGCTCTCCTAGAAAATGCCTCCCACAGAAAGTTCATTGAAGAGTGGAAGGAGAACGGCGCTCTTTATACAACACCACACGGTTCTAATGATGATTGGTAATATTCATGGATACACGACCATTTCCATTATGTTGATCATGTTTCTATTGAAGTGCTTTCTGTATGTAAAGCTTCTGAATTTGTGATGGATTGTGGTTTTGCTGGCAATGGGAGGTTTTTTAGTGACTTATCCTTTCCTCTGGGTTTTAGGTACTGGCTTTATGCTGCAGTCAAACTCAGGTGCTTGCTAGTGACTAATGATGAAATGCGAGATCACATTTTTGAGCTCCTAGGAAGCAGCTTCTTTATCAAGTGGAAAGAAAGGCATCAAGTACGTGTTATCTTTTGGCCTGATTTGCAAGCAATGTTTTTCTTTTGATCGCTGAATCCCTAGTTATGAACACAATGAAACACTTGCATTGATGAACATTTTACTAAGCAATAGTCATGAGTAGTGGTCATAGACAAACACTTGGATCTACAGCTTCCAAGATTGTCTGTTGTTCATTGGTTGAGGATTTGCTGCAGGTAAAATGGTCTTTGCTGTGTTATTGACTTCTCGTATATATCATTTGCAGGTAAAGTACACTTTTGCGAAGGGTACCTTAAAACTTCAGATGCCGGCTCCTTTTTCTGTGGTCATCCAGGTAATGTCCCCGGTGCTGCTGTAATGTCAACTTTAGATTCATATGTTGGTTACTAGGAGAACTTATTACCATGGCAGTTTAATGAATCGAACCCAACCAATTGTATTCTCTTCTCTCTCTGATTTCCAGGAATCAGAAAAAGGATCATGGCATGTACCTATAGCAGGCAGTGACACCGAAGAGTCTGCACAAACCTGGCTCTGCATCACAAGGACAAGTTCTGCAGATAAAACTCCCAAGGAATCCATGACCATGGAAGCTTCTGAAAACGGCCATGAGAACTGCTGCAAGAGCCATCATGCCTCCGACATTAGTGACAGTAAAACCACAGCCATTACAGGGAAAAGGAAGGAGAGGTCTCCATCTCATTCTTAGCTGGGATCATTGTAATAAACAAGTTCCACATGTGGCAATTTGGAGCTTTTTAAGCTGCTATTCTCTTGGGTAGCCTATGTTTTTCTGACTGCCTGCAATTTGGTGCTTAACCCGTCCGCAGTCTCTTTGTTGTACTATACATGAGAGATCAAATCATGCCCTCGTTTCAGGCAGAATTGGTGTCGAGATTCAGTTTTTTTTTTTATTATCAGTTTTCATATTTTATTCTAGTTCAGCTTTTTTATTCAGAACTCGTGGGACCTCCTGCCCTTGTACTATGTCAATTTTTCGTCCGAAGATAGCTCGCTTATTAAGCACGAAATTGGCACGTTTAATAGCGAATTTAGACTAGAATTCAAAAGAAGTAAAATATAAATATGACATTATCTTCACGAATACATTAAAAACAATATAAAGAGAAATCAAAGTGACACCAACACAATAACGTGATTAAACTTTTTCTAGTCTTGTCCGAGAATCAATCAAATCCAAACTTCTGCTCCCCTAACAATAAATCATGTAACGTGAACAACAAACATATACTAACTCCCTTTTCCTTGTTAATCCAGAGATCAGCCACCACCAATTTGCCGCCATTAAAATGGAAAATGTGAAAATATACCATATATTTCATATCATATGTATCATCATCATCATTATTACGTATGTCTTGTCCTCATAAACCCTAATGGCCCTCTTCCCTCTCTGCAAAGCCTTTTTATTATTTGACAACATATTTCACCAGCCCAGGAATGTGAATGTTGACGAAGTAATCCTCCCAATCAACCTCGGCCGGGTCGAAGTAGAACTTGTCCGTCTCCACTCCATTGTCCTTCGCCGCCATCCTCAGCTTCTCCGTGTTGATGTCGTCAAACCTGTAGCGAAAAACAATAATCATATATCACATATTTCGATCTCAAATAACTGTCACGTAAGAAACAAAGATAAAGTTGACGGAGTATTGTATCTTACACTCCATTGAAGAATAGGTACGGCTGGTAGAGCTCCACCAGCCGCATCACGAACTTGATCCTACGGTTGAGATCGCTGTAGACTCCGTCGAAGAAGTGGCAGAAGGCCGTGTTCGCCAGCTCCAGCCCCTACACATAACAACATTTCGTAAAAGAGTTCCAACACTTTTAACCACTGAAATCGTGTTGTTGGCTAGCTAAGTGAAATGTCATTTTTTTTTTGGGTTTGGTTATTTACCTTCAAGACGAGCAAGTAACGGAAGGCCATGTAACGGCGGAAGCTGTCCATGCTACCAAGAACTCTGACCTTACGAACCCTGACCACGTTGCCTTCCTTATCGACCCACGGCTTCTGAGAGAAATACCCGAACCCATATTCCTTGAGATCCCCAAGCTTCATCGGGTTGCGAATCGACGAACCCACTTGGTAGATGACCGGTTCGGATCTAGGCTGGTTCGAGTGGGCCACGATGGCCATCAGCATCGAATTCACCACCATATCTGCTGGTATCTGCATCAATATTATTGAAAACAGTACACATTCAAAGCTCTGGATTAACATAATTAAAGATCCAAGGACCATTTTGCAAGTTTTGGTTCTGGGGTCAGGGAGCGAATTGAAATCTTACCACGTCGAGAATGCCTGCAACGTCTCCAAGGAAGCAAGTGAGGCGTCCTTTGCCATAGCCAACAGCCAAGCTGTCGATTGTTCTGTAACCAAAAAACCATGGTGAGGACCAAATTGGACTTGTGGTAAAAGGAGGGACCAAATTGGGATTTGTTATAAATTTACTTGTTGGTACCTGATGCCTTCAACCCAGCCAGGGAAAGGCTGTTTGAAAGTGCTGGTGACGATGGTGGGACGTACGATGACGACGGACATGTTGCTGCCTTTGAATTCTCCAACCAGCATCTCCCCCATTGCCTTGGTGAACACGTATGTGTTTGGCCATCCGTAGGTTTTTGCCCTGTTAATTTGTTTCCCGGGAAAGAAAACAGAGAATATACAAACGTAAGACAATTGCGTGGAAGAATCAATCAACCTTAAAAAATATAATCATTAGAAAGGGAAGAAATGCAGGAAGAAGAAAAAAAATCAAGTGATGACAGATGCGTCTGTGGAAAACGTATGCAACAGTTGCAGCCACCATGTGTATTGTGCAAGTTTATTAGGTGACCAGTAGCTTAGGTAGATAATTAGGACATTGACCCGACTTAAAAAAATTTTATAAGTTTAGTCGCAAACCAGTTCTGATAGCATGTTATAAACTAACCGATTCTAATAAGTTTGTGTATGAATGTTAATCACTTACTTACAAGTTACGACGAACCCAGTTCGTCGAAATGGTGGGGGCTTTAAAGTCTGTGGCAGTGGGGGGGTGAGTAGGGTAAGAACCCAATAAATGTGGGACTAGAAACTAGAGAAAAACAAAAACCCTTCTCTCAAACTAGGCTTCCAGATGATCCTATGAAAGCTTATTTAATAATGCATCTTCAAACACTTTGCTTTTGCTTCTGTGAGGAGCAACCAACTCACCCAGTCCATCCTTTCCATCTTTATTGCACATCTACCTACTCCTGCTGTTCATCATTAAATGTTGGTGTTCTTACTGTTTTTCATGTACAACTAGTTTAAAAGTTTGATCCATCCACATCCATATATACACAGTCTTTTTGAGTTCTGATCTCTTGTCTCTGGTGTTGAACTAGTTCTGTTTCCATCGATGTGTCCACTTCTACTACAAAAAATCCCCCAACACCATTTATTGTGCCACTAGTGGATCCTACATCCTAGTAGACTTTGTCCATGTCCACACAGAAAACAGACATGAAAGAGGAAACAAAATAGACTTGGCTTGGAATTTGGATCCCAACCTTAGCTAAGAAATGGGTATCATGAGAACTCGAATATCAACTACTAGGACTCTTTGACATGAATGAGACCGATCAAGGACATCCAACTTTTTCGTGATTTAGTTAGCACACTACTCTTTTCCTTCCACCATGTAAAAGTGAAAAGCAAAGTTAATGCTGACGATCAACAACCCGTATACTTCCCTAAATGAATGTCACTTGCGTCCTTTTGATAGTTTTTCACCATAGAATGTACGAGTTAGTAACGTGCCAGATAAGTGAGTTGCACTTTGGAGTTTTGTAGTTATTTTATTGTCCTATGTATGATGGGGAAGGAATAGATAGGGATATGAGAAGAGGAAACAAAATAGACTAGCTTGGATCTCAATCTTAGCTGATAAATGGGTACGAGAATTCAAATATCTCCTGCTAGGACTCTTGACATGAATGAGAACAGTCAGGACATCTGACACTTTATTTCCTTCTATCACGTATAAAAGGAAAGCAATGTTGATACTGACGTTCAACAACCTAACATCCATTGAACGAATGTCACTTGTGTACATTCGATAATTCTTTCGAGTTAGCGACGTAAACACCTGCTTAGCCCCAGATAACTGGACTCTACTAAGAGTTTGTGGAGTTATTTTCTTATTCTATATGATGGGGAAGAGAGATAGATAGGGTTTGGGGTACTGTGTCCAAACTATTATCACACCAATAATATCTGTTTTCATGCCTTTTCTCTGACAAATTTCATCTTCTTTTTCCTTCTGATAAGATTTTTACAATCTCGGCCAAAGTCAAAACAAACACTTCTGCCTATCTGCAAATAAAGGACTGCAACCTGAGAGGTCGTGAACAGAAACAAGACTGGCTCGGGGATCAATAATCAATTCCCTTCCCACAATTGCATTTGTCCCCATTTTTTACATTATTCCTGTGTAGATTTCTAAGAAATTAAAACTTTTGGTTACTAATTTTAGCATATTAGCCAACTGTACATTATAATGTTTGGTAAAAAAAAAAAAGGAGGAAAAAAATAAATAATTTCACTGTTCAACTAATGGACTCTATGCTTGCTTACAAAAAGAAAAAAAAATGTCATAGAACCAGAAGAGAAGCATTCATTGGATTGATGAGAAGGCCCTGATATGAAATCGACGTTTCACAATTCTATACTCAGTCTGCAAGGATTCGCCTACCTCCACCCAGCCAATACGTTAAGATAATATAGAGAAAAGGACAAACCCTAGCTAAAATTATAAACAACAATTAACAAAATCCAATCAAATTTTTATTTTTTTCCTTGCACGTACGAGTACGACTCAGAATTATAAATAAGTTCCAACAACTAGTACTAGTAAATAATAATAATAATTCGTATGTAGGTAAGAAGAATACGGACCTTTTGAGGCCAAGGTCGACCATGGCCCTTTTAATGGCGTCCTGTGAGGCTCCTTCTGCTTGCAGTTCGTTCATCTTTAGGGCAATCAGTTTCCTCTCTTCCTGAATGTCCAGTCCGGTTGCCCCGTTTAGGGTATCCCCCATTCGATAAGGGCTCTCCAATATCAACCCCGACCTCTCCCCCGCGACATAAGCTGATCACCACGTGGAAACAACCATTAGTTAGTTAGTTACACCAGAGGGAAAATATGATCCATTCGAATTTATGATTGATTGTGTAGTGTGATTCGTACCGGTCGAGACGTGGACGAGAGCTTTGAGATTCGGACAGTTGTGACCGAAGCTGACGACGTGCTTCGCGCCCATCGTGTTCAGCCCCATTGCAATGTCGTACCTGCACTCATTCATCGAACGAAAATTCACGATATATCTCGTATAGCATGATGAACTATGAAGTTAGGGTGTGTCATAATAGAAATACCTTTCATCAAAGTTGGTAGATGCAGCTAGATTTACAATAATGTCGACCTCATTCCACATTTGTTGTTTGAGTTCTAATGAGGAGACGCCAAGCCCTTCGTCCACAGAGATGTCGCCAGGTACCAGAACTATCTTGTCTGACAATATTGTACTCAAATTTTCGCCAAACTTCTCCTTCACTACCCGGAACAGTTCCTTCCCTACAATCTGCTCCCTCCCAAGCAAGCACCACAACAACAAACAAGTCAATTATCATTGGGGGTAAAAATGGTAGCTCTAGCTTTTCATTATGTGATAGCGATATCACTCACAAAAAAAAAGGACCACCAAAGGGGATGAAAAAATGACCTCTTGTGATCACTTTCATTTATTTAGGATTAGCATTTCAGGCAACTAGGTTACCTACTAAACCTTTGATTCCAAATTTAATACAAGAATTAATTACTTAGCCTACCCCACCAAATAATCCAATATTAATCGATAATATCTAGCTTCTCTACCTTTCTCTCACATCTGACTTTGCTAATCCTTTAATTAACAACCAAATCATGGTTATATTACGAGGGACAACAAGACAACAAAGCGAGGAAAGCCTTTTTTTGTATTCGGGTTTAGTCGACCTACTTATGTATGACTCTTTGACGGGTTGTTTACTAAAGTTTATGTCGAAACCTTTCACACTCTGAAAATACCGAAAAAAGGGTAGCTTTTTTTTCCTTTCTTTCTTTTCTTTGTGGTTTGGGATTTTACCTCACTGTGAAATCTTTGGGAAGCAGCCTTGGCATCAGCAGCTCTGAGGAGAAGGTACATCCTCTTAACATTTGGCTGCTCTCTCAGTACTTTCTCCAGGAAAACTGTCCACAAAAATACACAAAGGATTAATCAAATAGCAAAACCATCCACAACCCATTTGAGCCCTCTCAAGCTAGAACATAACAGAAAATCATGGAGGATGAAAATCATGTAAAGATTCGATTTTTTTTTTCTCTTCTTCCACTTACTCTTAGCAAGGAACCCAGTTGCACCGGTGATCAGAACCGCCCTGTCCTCCAAGAACTGCACCACACTCCCAAACTCCATTATTGCTCTCTCTCTCTCTCTCTCTCTCTGTCTCTCTCTCTCTTTCTTTCTGCTTGAAACTAGAGCACAATGCTTGGCAATGAATGATGATGGAGGGGATGAGAAGGAGAGAAGACTAATGTAGCAGGGGGGTAGCAAAGGGAGAGCTACCCAAAAGTACAATGGAAACTTGCTTGGTCTTTTCTGGTGAGGAAGTAAAAATTCGAGGACAGCAGTAAAGAAAGTGGAGGGAGTACTAGTTGTAGAAGGAGATGGGCTGGTTTTTTTGGGGGATTGTGAACAGAGCAGCTGGCTAGATATATAGAGATGGAAGAAAGTAGAGGACATAGGGAGTGGGCAGATTTCGGTTCCCCATTTCCTCTCTCAAATATAAGGCCTTTGCTAACAGAGAGAAGATTGGAAAAAAGTGACTAAAAACGGTTTTTTTTTTTTAATTTGTATTATTATAGAAACTAAAGGCAAATGAAACGAGGGGGTGACATTCATTAATGAAGTGGAGTACACGCTAGTAAAATAATTGAAAAATAATATCTTTGGAATTTTTTTTGAAAGATGTTAATTACCTTCCTCATAAAGCGAAGAAGATATCGAACTAGAAGAGCGGGAAGGAAAATCTGCGATAGGACAGTGTTATTCAAGAACATGATATTTACTCACACGAAATAAAAACGGGGATAAACGATCTATACACTAATCAGTAACTGTAAGGAAATGGAAATGACGAGTTTTTGATCCATCATGATGAGAATAAGGAGCTAAACGTACGGTTGTAATCAATCAATATTGGACTAATAGTCAGTGCATCAGATGCTTGAACAACTTGGGTAAAGGAGATTTATTTTCTGTCCAGTCAGTATGTGCTGATACTATATATCGGAACGTGCAGCTCGTGGTCTTAATTGTTTTATGTATGTTCTAGTGTTATTTGTTTTGTATAATTATAAATTACCTTGAACATGTTTGTATAGTAATTAAGATTTGTAGATTGCCCAATCTAATAATGTCAATAATTGGCACGTACGGACCATAACACCTGTCAACCTGTTAGACGAATTGGGTAAAAGAAAAATATGTCTTGATTTCATTGTCTATATATTTTCGCTCTCTTTTGGTGGGGATTTATTTTTTGATTGAGTTACAAGTTTTTATGAAGTGGAGAGACTTAACGAAAGCTATAATAATTAGCGTTGTGATTAATTAGTAGGCTATGGGAACGGCTACGGTGCTAATTGTACAATAGTTAGCACCGTCCTAACCAAGGGAAAAACTACTACTAGTTTGAATTAGTAGTGATTTAGCTTAGATGTTGTATTGATTTTATAATAATCCGTGGTGATTTTTGCTAGTTATCACGGTGCTAACCCCTATAAGAGTTAGCACCTAATCCCATCACGTGGGCTATTAAATTTGGGGAGGATGGTCGCTTAAAGCGTACGGCGGTTGTGTATTATTACTTATGAGTATTAATATTGAGACGTGTTGTTAATAAATAATTAGTGTGTTTTCTTCCTTTGCCCTTTTGGAGGAGAATCTCCTTAGAGCGCGCGTTTGGATTAGCTAGCTAGACAAGTTAAATTTGGATTAGCCAATTAGGGTTTATCTGATTCAGGTTGGCTAAACGGTTCCGAGAGATTATAATTGGTATTAATTAATTTGGCAGTGCAGGGAAATTGGTAAACAAACTTCAGAAGGAGCAGTCATGTATGAAGGAAAATAACGAGGTGATGTAATGTATAACTTTGATCGTTCTGTACCCAAAATATTGGTAAACACTATTATTATGTGTTAAACTTGCATCTAGACATGTATACCAATAATATTTTTTTAAAAATATTGGCCGAATCGGTCCATAAGAAATTCAAGAGGCCTATAATAACAGTCCCCAATTCAAGAGTTTCCTCCAAAGAGTAACTTATCAAATCCCTAATTCACACCATAATCCCCAATTCTATATCACAGTCCCCCCAAATAAGAACTCTAGACGTACACATCGTAGATCCATAGTTCTTACGTACATCGTTCAGTCAAAATGTGAGTACGATTTATTTGATGCTTGCAAAGGTAGACTTTGTGCTTTAATCAACTGTTAATATTGGGGGTCGTGGAGATCCGAACACACGACCACTTGGCCAAACCAGCTCTAATACCATGTCATAAACCAGTTGGTCCCAATAACTTGAATTGTTGGGAGAAGGTTATATTGGATCTTATATCACTCTCTAACAAAGAGATACCAACATTTCGAACACCTAATAAAAAATATAAGATCTATAGAAATATTTGATTCGACTTCAACTTTTGAAACACATAAACCAGAAGTTTTTTTTTCTTCCATAAAGACTCGAGGGACTTCTCACAATCACAAACAATGCAACGTGTCAAATTTTGGTTAGTGTCTTGGTAATCACATAAAAGAAAAGGTCAAAGAGCCAATCTTCGTGTAGGCATATAAAAAATGTTAAATACACTTGTATATCCAAAACTTTCACGGTTGTGTCAATAATATCCAAATTTCTCGAAATACCACTTATATCCAATTCCTTCACATTCTTTAAAGGTGTTTTTGGATATACAAGTGTATTTAACCAAAAATATATTGAGAAATGGATAGATTTGGCAAAGAACAACTTTAAAACATGGATATAAGTGGTATTTCAGGAAATTTGGATATTATTGGCACAACCGTAAAAGTTTTGAATATATAAGTGTATTATACCTATAAAAAACTACCATCACTTTCTGACAAATGTTTTCCCTCTGGATCATGTGCTTGATGAGCTAGAGGATTTATTAGTCGGCATACATTGATTATTTGTCAAATTCCACACACCCTTTTTATACATTAGTCAAACCCCATTATCCCTTTAATCAAAGTCAAACTTTTGCCTTCATTGGAAGAAATGTATGGTGTGAAATAGTAGTGTAACAAAACCTGCTGCCCGCTGGTATATTGATGTTGTACGCGGGATAATAAAGAAAGGGCAGCAACAATTGCCATATATGGGTGGGGAGGTGGTGACCTATCTACAACATTGATTAGGGTTCTGCATTGGTCACATTCGGACCAAATTCACGAGAACCATCGTCCAATAGTGAAACGGCATGCTAGGATCAGAGGTTGGACTAACAATGCATCGGTCTTATTTGGTCATGTTTGGTCCGATTGTTCCATTTTTCTTTTAGTACTTGGGGGTCGTTTGGATGAATCAGTTGTCTCGTTCTGTAAAACGAGTCGATTCGAATTATCTACACCCGACCCCAGGTACAATTGCAACTGCCTCAAAATGAATCGATTCGAAATTCCCCAGACCAAATTGCTTCATCCAAATTTTATGCTGCCAAACGAGTCGATTGGGTCAAGTTGATCCACTAGATTCCTCATCCAAACGGACCCCTAAACATTTATTTAGTCCGATCCAAGCATCAATTTGGTTCAGTACGAACCAACCCGATGCACACCCAGCATAGCATTGATTACACTGCAACTCCCCTATAGCTACTGGCGCGAGACTGCTAGTAGCTGCAGCCAAGGAAAGCAGGGTAGTAAGAACTCACTGGGAAAAGCAGAGACCAACTGGGTTTGGGTTCAGTGGCTTGCTGACAAATGGCTCAGTAGATACCGACCCACGAGACTTCCTTTCACACGTTTCATTCCTTCCAAGGGTCCAACCCAACCAACCAACTCTGGCCGACCCACATTTATTAATCTCTCTCTAGCAAGCTAGCTCCAATTGCAAACGTGCAAAGGACTCATCTCACTTCTCTTTATGGACTCATCTCATCTGTTGGGTAGTTCATTATATATTTAGGTTGTTCTAGTTAGGATCCAGAGTGTGTGTTTATCGCACATCCGATTTTATCTACGGTAAACAACAATGACCTTCGTATGCCTTTATAGTTAAAGGTTCTCGTTTTGTTGGCCTCAAGGGCATGACGTGTGTCGAACCCCATCATTAATTTTTCTTATCGGTTTCAAGTCGTTCGTTAATTGCCAAACGATTCTGACTCGAACTGTTAAACGCCAAAACCCGACGATCTTCCGACACGACACGACACGTTCTTTTTGGCATGCAACAACCCAATGCAGCTGTGAACCAAATCTTTAGTAATTACCTTAACAAATTAATTAATAACAGAAGTTTAAGCACCTGTATAGTTTCTGCCTTTCTGGTAAGATTTCTGGGGCCGTTGGTCAATAATAATAACATCTAATATTATGTACAAATTGTGCCACCTGTATATTTCTTCACAATGTATACATATGACACATGGAGGGAAGTTGTTCAACAGTTCTAACTTCTAACTATCTCGAAGCCAAACCCATATGTGCATTAATTGTCTCTCCAATTACAGTTGTTTCTTCTTCTTCCAAACATGTTCTGATCAGGTTCTTGGCCAATGGCTCTTTGGCACATGTCACGTACGAAACAGGGAAAAAGAACATGTTGTAATGTTCTTATTTTGGTCCATCAACTCCTCTGTTGTCAAACCCATTTCTAAGATTAGTCGATCATCCTTTACCAACCAAAACCCATCTTAGGTTTCATTCACACCCTTATTAAGGAAGTTCCCAGTCGAGTCGTCGTGTTCCTATTCTCTTCCCGGCCGGTCATCTTAGTATTTGTAATCATTTAATATCCAGACGACATTTGCCGGAATTTCGGGGAAGATGATGGAAACCTTTGCCAAATTGATTTTGAATGTTACTAATTAACCCTATAGTCCAACAATACCACGAGAGTGTATTTCTTTACAATATGGTTCTTTGGTGGGCTTTGAAGAGAATGTATATATATATGTGGTGGCTACTTCGGTGAACTTGCATTTTAGGGTGCGTTTAGCCGCATAGACATCAAATTTTGAATTTTAACTGGTAGCATTAGTATAGTATGATGATATAACAAATGATCACAACTAATCAATCAATTACCTTAACCCCTAAACCTTCAATTTCAAACACCAACCCAAAATCCCAAAATGTGAACCCTAGCCCTAATCCTAAATTCCTAAATCTTAAATCCTTCGAATCAAAGTAAATATTTAATGATTTTTTTTTTGTAAATTCATTGGGTTTCATGTCTATCGCATCACAAGTAATGATTGACATCGTTTTGACATGAATCACCTATTCAAAATGGTGATTATGAGGCGGGTGCACTAAATGCACCAAAAAAAGTGAGTGCACCGAAGACACCGCCATATATATATATATATACACACACGCTCATTGTCCAAGATTCCCCACTGCTGCCCCGTGGGAGTCCAGGCCGTGTCTCAGTCCTAGTGTGTCTGATCATCCGAAAAGACCATCTAAGTATTATTGGTTTGGTCAGCCTTTACCTGACCAACTACCTAATACTACGCAGGCTCATCAAACAACGTTTTTTAGCTTTCTTCAGGATTTGGGTTGAAGTGTTCGGCAGATTCCCACGCGTTACGCACTCGTTCGCTACTTTGTTCTCAACTGTATATATATGGGGAGTTCTACGGTACCCAGGGTGAAATCCAGGTATAGAATGGTGTTAGATTTCCAGTAAGACGCTTCTTGTCCGGGATATAAAAACTTTAAAATCTACTAGCTAGGCAACAATCTTTTAAGACTATTGTATCTCTCGGAATAGTACTTTTTTAGATAAGTGTGATATAGATTGATTTTTAGAATTAGGTGCTAGTAAAGAGATTTTGAACTTGGAATTTCCAAGTTGAAAATTTGTGATATTACCATTACCGGTCTCCTAATTCTCAAATTTCTTGAAAAAAATTTCTTTCATTTCTGTCACTATTTGGAAGTTGAGTAGGGCAATAACTCCTCATCACAACAATGTAAACATGACTTTGCCTCTGCATGGACCTTAAAACTTTTCTAGATGAATATAAAACAACTAGACGGTAACTTATACTCAATTCTTTCCTCAAACCGAGAAGAAAGGAATGGCAGTTGATTGATTAAACCTCATCACAGAGTCGCGACAGTACAGAATATATAACCTTGGATCTTGTCTGGCAAATCAACGCAAATGGTATTTATTACAATTTGATTCAAACTGCACGCCGTGCACCAACAAAAAACCGATTACATAGAAGTTTGCGAATTGCGAGATCAATCTCTTACCTGATCATCACTGGCTCGCACTTCAAGACCGTGTTCTTGTTCTCATCTCTGGGCTCGACCTTTTCTTGATTGACTCAAAGTTGTTTGTTGGATCTGCTTTCCCTCTCTCGAGGGCTACCCACTTTCAGCCCGATGCAAGAGCCCAATTTCACAGCTAAAGAACAGCACTCCACAGTAGAAAAAGCCCACCCAAGAGCCCAATGCAACACTCATCATCTGCAGAATTCTGCTACTTTCAACCACCTTTCAGGTTTTCTGGAGGGAAGAAGACTGATGGTGATGGGAAAAGTTAACAATTGATTACAATTAGTCCAAGAGAATCCACAGTTAAAGAAAAAAAGAAACAAACTTTCAACTAACCAGTTAGAAGTGGTGTCTATTACTCAATTACATTACATATTCAGCAGAAGCAACTAAATAACTATAGGAGTCAACAAATGATTCACAGTAGTGGCTATTTTTCCGTGCCCCCTAAGGAAAGCTGTCCTATTTTTCCGTCGTGAGAAGCTGCAAACGGCTGTAACAAATTGCAGCATTATATCTATATATCCATTGTACTACTAAGTCCTATTATGTGGTTAATCTTCTTCAGCAAGAGAATCTTCGGCAACTAAATCCGTATTTAGTGCAGAATCTACTTGCTCCACTGGCGGCTGTCTACAGGTCTCGTCGTTTGAGGGACTCGGATCATTCATGTTCTTGTCATTTGAGGCAGCAGGATCATCTGGGTTCTTGTCATTTGAGGCAGGAGGATCATCTGGGTTCTTATCATTTGAGGCTCCCAGATTATCAGGGTTCTTGTTGTCATCACCGGTAATGACACAGAGACTCTTGTCCTTTGAGACACTCAGATCGTCAGGGTTCTTGTTGTCGTCACCTGTAATGACACTCAGAGACGGGCCTTTGACTGTAAGCATCGGAGCAAGATCCTTTTCAGCATCGGTCACTGGTTTTATGGGTTCTTGCTGAAGAGCGGTGTCATTATTTGGTACTCGCGGGTCAACATCCATCTTTTCTGTTGCCTCGTGGGGTCCAGGTAGCCGCAGGGCAGAATTCTTCTGATTAATGTTGGTAGTGTCAGCCTCAGCACCTTCGTATTCGGACAAGAGATCCAAGAATTCATTGAGCAGCCTCTGTACTTTTCTGTTGCATGCCATTGCTGGAAGAATGTCTTCTCTCAGGAGTTTCTGCTTTCTCATCCCCTGAAGAGAGTACAAAAGAGGGGGGCATATGAGAAACCGAGTAGTAGCAAGCAACAACGGGTATGGAAAGAACTGAGAGAAGCAGGTCCTTACAAGTACAAAAGGATCCCAAGCCACGTTCTTGGTGTCCGAAGAAGATGTTGCTGCTTCTGTCATTCCAGTAGGAGGACCTAGGAAACTTTCACATACTTCACGCAATCGTGACTCATCTGCTTCTCTGAAAACCAGAGAGCCATACGAACATCATAATCCCATATTGCATATGTCAGATTACCAGAGCCATCAGGTAAAAATTGAACTAGAACGTACCTTGCTAGGAAGCGTATGTAAGATAGAAGGCACTGGCGGTATTCATTTGGTGACTGCAACGCCAAACTTGATGCTAACTGTGCTTCCAAATGGGCACGCGTCTGTATTCCATCATCCGTCACTCTACAACACCACCAAGTTAACCACCCATTTCAGTGCTACTTGGCCAAACAAATATCCATAAATTTTAGTTCACTATCTGTCAATACCTGTTCCAAGAAGGCTTTCTGCCCATGTATTTTCTGACTTCGACTTGCAATGCAGACAACTCACCACTATGAACAGAGCCCAAATTCCAGGAGCTAGCAAAACTAGAAGTAGGAAAGCAATCGTCTGCCACCCTCAGCCAACACCTAAGGGTCGTGTCAAAGAGGAAAGCATGACGGGTGTCCAGAACAACCAAAGGTGCACCCGACTTTGACAACTTGGCTGATATGACTTTGATTGTACCTGAGAAGTAACATAGAATGAACTACGATGATTATTACGCAATTTAAGTACCATGACGTCCAATATTTAGTTGGAGAGTGAACCTTTAGCAGAGGATTTTGGATCTGAAATGACCAGAGATGTTAACGAGTCCTGAAGAAGACAGCTGCGCCTGAAGAGATCCCATATATATAAAGATCCCTTCCGTGTGACCAACAACAACTTCCAGTTCTCATCGCAGTCTACAAAAGTTGCGGCTGATCCTGTCATCATTGTTGGCATAGCGCGCCTCCCACATTTTGTGTAGATCTTCCAATCAAAGGATAAGCATAGGACAACGAGTTCATCAGATACACACATAAAAGAGGACTCATAAAACTCCAAGTAAAGTTGACCTATCCTATTTTTTCACATGACAGGCTAACAGCACAACAGGCACATTAGCCTAGATGTTTCTGTCCTGAAGACCAACAAGAAAGTCGAATCTTTGTGAAGACAAAAATGTATCTTTTTTTCCGGTTTATATGAAGCAAGGAACCACTAATGTAGATAGCTCAGGAAGAGAACTATGATCCAGAATAAAAGAAAAGAACACCACTGAAACAGCAAAACAGTTGGCCGAGGATTAGAAGCTACCTGTAGACAACCATCTTCACAACCAACAGCCCAAAAGTTGGCATTTCCAGCTAAAACAGTTACTTTTCCAGATATCCTATCGGACCAAAGGGTTTGGGCCCCTCTGGTACAAGAAACTTCAGTTTCCTTTATTGTACTAGTCTTTGCATTACCAAAAACATCAGTTACTGCACGTTCTCTAGGGTGAGCTTCCAAGCATATTGGTATTTTGTCTTCACCTACTTTTTTATCGAACACCCTGATTGAAAGTGTACTACTACCAGCACTAGAGGAGCTAGACGCTTTCATGCCAGACTGTTCAACAGTGACGATTGAACCGTCCCCAGTTGAAGATGCTTCTGGAGCTACCTTTTCAATAACCAAACTCTCTGTAATGGTAGCTCTAGCAGTAAACCCGCCTCTTTTATTCAAATTAGAAATTCGGTCAACTGCTCCCCTAAGTGGTCCCTCCCGCTTGCCAACAGCTTCGATGGAAACTAACCCATTTTCCTCCTTTCTGTGATCAGTTGCTGTAGAGGGTAAGTCAAGGGCTTGAGCATCATGGATCCCTGAAGCTACTGTATTTTGCTGGCTTGGCAAGCCAAGTGCTTCTGGAATTATTCTCTTCCTGCCATCAGGGCGCCTGTATTCTCGTTGTTTCACAGGGCTAGAAACTCGAGCAGAAGTTGACACTTTATTATTCAAGCCCTCATTATTAGTGACCATTCCTCCAGCTTTCTTCTCGGCATCGACATGGGGCGGAGGGGGCTTTGTAATGGACACTACCTCAACTGAAGATTTTACAGGTGGCTCATTTTGCTTATTGTCTACAGCCACCTTTTTGCTGGCTGTCAGCTTAGCTGAGGCTGCCTCAAGCAACAATTGTTCAGGACTCTCTGCCAAGTTTGCCTGCCGACCTTTGACATCACCATATCGGCTTCTCTTTAACTCACCTAGTTCACTATCACTCAGCTTTTGTCCGAGTTCTTTTGCATCAAAATGGAAAGTAGCCACTGATCCATCCAATGAACAGGCAAAGAGTGAGTATCCATCAGGACTCCTGTTTGGAAGAAAAAATATCAGCAAAATAAGAAAAAGAGATAATTAATCATCCAAGGAATATTTATCAAAATGTTTGAAATAGCTAAATTTACCAGGACAAGTCGACAACACTTTGTATGAAGACATGCTTAGCCACAAAAAGAGGGCGAGGACTTGCAGTCGTCCACACAGTTATTGTTCGATCCTGACTACCAATGGCAATAACATTGTATGGCTGAGACTCTTTGCTTGCAGTCTTTGACGCCCCATTTGTCCACCCAACTGCTGTAGTTTTAGCCTCTTGAGAATTCGAGTTGCTTGTCCTAAACATTGAATGGTTAAACTTTACAACTATAATGGGAGCATTGTGTCCAAGGAAGTCAAATGTGGCAGCCCACTCTCCTCTCTCTAGAACAGGAGCAGAATGCCTCGGCTTTTGGAACCCATGTGTGGTCGTTATGAAATGGCCACAAGGTGACCAGCCAAGACGTCTGAAAAAAGTCGATCCAAGCTGGCAAAGAAGAAAAAAACAACTTAAGATGCAAACTTAGGACCCATACACTAGGAAGCAGCAAATTTGTTAAGGAAGAGACAAAATTTTCACAAAAAGGAAAGAGAAAACAGACTGATTTCGCCCAGTGGCCATCGGTTCTGTGAGCCAAGCTCCAGTCACTCGTTCTCCAGATAATTACAGTCTTATCATCAGATTGACTTGCAATGAAAGAGCCAATGGGATCCCAAGCAACTCCTTTAACAAGGCTAGAGTGACCTCTAAGAACAGCCGTGCATATTCCATTGCTCATATTCCATACATGAACAGTGTTATCCAAACTTCCACTAGCCAGTGTGGAGTCATCCGGGGACCAGTTAAGATCCACCTACTTTTAAGCACAGAACAAAAAACTCCCACTTAGAAGACATTAGAACAACCAGCACAAAAAAGGAGTGTCAAGGCGTTCAGTTATCCATTCAATAAAGAGCAAGAAACAGATCGAATAAGTTTTCCAACTTTGGTGAACCAACTAGCAAAAGCAAATGTCATTACCACATCAGCACTGTGCCCTCTCAAAGTCAATGTAACCTTCCAATTCTCTACATCTGGGGCTTCTCCGCTACCAAACTCGGTGGTTCCTGAACCAGGCTTCCTTTCATGAACTAAGATCACCTGATCATCAGAGCCAGATGCAACATAACGGCCATGCTTAGCCCACCTCACACAATTAACAGAACCAAAATGATCACGTAGAGTTGCTAGGAGCCTCTGTGATACATCATTCTCTTCTAAATTCCTGCTGACAGATTTCATATTCCATATCCTGACCTGAAATTTCCATGTAACTCAATCAGTAAGATAACAATAGCTAGAAACAACAAATGCGGAATGAATTTCACACAACACGGTGGAGCAACCATCTGATCCTCTGGGAATAGGAATCAAAGGCACAGAGGCTATAACTTTCTTAAAGGTTCCAATTTCAAAGAGCCAATGAGAAACCCCTAGTTCCACCGTAAGTTCTCGCATATTTGGGCACATTAGAGGCTGAACATTTTTTTGACACTAAGAGGAAGTAGGAAAGGCAACGCATTTATTTACCTTATGGTCGCCTCCACCAGTAGCAAACCTGAGGCCACCAGGCTGAATATCGATGGAGAAAATCTGCATTCCCTCATGTTTAACCCAAATGGGTTTCTCAGTAATCATCTTTGCTTTCTACCCAAGAAGAAGCTCTGCTTCTCCCACAACCTCCTTTAATCTGTTCCGTTCTACGACACCAACACGAAGTTGTCTAATTTCAACAACGCCGCCATAAATCCCCTCAATTTCATCCAAGCCCCGCAGGAATCACAAGTTTAATCAGACCTGCTGAAACTGAAACCTAAGAGAACTGAACAGAGCGTGGAGTATAGAAGAAGCGATCTTCACACTATCTCACTCACGTTGAAGTACCCAAAATAACCCTCGATAGCGAACCATGTACCACAACTTTAGGATTCGACAACATAATAAGAACCACAGTTTGCAGACAAAGCAAGTATAAACCCTAGAGAGCTGCCGACGAATGAAAGGAAGAGGATCTTGAAGAAGATAAAGAACACCTCTTTTCTTGTTTCCTCTTCGTAACGGTCAAAACCTAAATCCTAATAAGGCTCCGAGGTTGTCCGACTGGACTGCTATTATGCGACTCTGTCTGTCGTCCGTCCCTGCTAATTTTCTTTTCTTTATTGAGAAGAAGGGAAAAAGACAGAAATTTGAAAATTCGAGAATCACTTGGAAAAGGTAAATTAGGGTTTATGGAAGGATTCGATAATGACAGCTGCCCTGCCTTCCTCCTCGCAAAAGATTCGTTTCTCTACTAATTTACTCTTTTTCTTTTTTGTTTTCTTTTCTTTTTGGGAACCTGCTTTCTCCTGCTATAAATATCACAAAGAGAAAACCCACAACCACAAGTCAACTGCCAAGTGCTCCAGCAAACATGACAAAGAACTTCTCTTTCTGTGCAGAAGAACTCCGCATCCCTCTCGGATTTGCTACTTTAGCTGCCAAGCTTCATTGAGACAGAGAGATGAATAATGGGTAGCTGAGTCTGTCGCCATTGTTCCAAAAGTCTGCAACTTTTCAAGGATTGGAGTCAGCAAGCGCATGCTGCTGTTGAAAGCGGAGAAGAGGAGATGATAATCCGCGCATTTTTCCTCAAAGACATTGGCAACTTCGCTAAAGAGGCAGGCCCTTTTCTCTGCACTGAAAACCCACTTCAATGTTCCATGTAAAGGTCGTTGATCGGGATACTCCGGCGAACTGGAGATTGGGAGAGGAGGGAAGGTAGAAAATGGGAGCGAAGAAGAGAGTACTTTTATTGCTAAGCTAAAGAGTAAAGTGTTTACAGATAAGTTTTGGTAAAAAAGGTACCAATACAGTAGTCTCTCTCTCTATTTATTCCACTGAAGTGCCGTTTAGCACACGTCACTTGCCAGCTGGTCTCCAGTCCGTTACAAATCCTCCCCCATCAAAAGCAGCTTGTCCTCAAGCTGTTCTTCAAGCTGGGAAAGTGGGAAACTGGCGCTTAAAATTGGTTAAATCTTCCCATGTAGCATCCTCCAGAGACTGATGAACCCAACGCACCAGAATTTGTGTAGTAGCCCTGTTGTTCTGGTTGACAAACCTGCGCGCCAGAATTTGTGCCGGTTCCAGCTTCACGGATCCATTGTCATCTTGAGCAGGGAGGTGCATCGCCGCTGGTGGTACCACGGATTTGCACAACTTCAACTGAGACACGTGAAAAACTGGATGAATCTTGGACTGAGCAGGTAGAACCAACTTGTAAGCTACCTCACCAATCCGAGCTTCAACTTGATACGGCCCGAAGTAACGTGCCCCCAGCTTGTTGCCGTGTCGTCCCACTACAGAACCCTGACGATACGGTTGCAAACGCAAGTAAACCCAATCATTGACCTGGAAAACTCTCTCTGATCTCCTCCTGTCAGCATACTGCTTTTGCCGGTTTTGGGCTCGTGTGATGTTCTCTGTGAGGAATTGCACCAGCTGATGCTGTGTTTTGACTCTGTCCTCCACAGCACCTACTGGAGTAGTAGCAGTAGGAGCCAAGCCAAAGTGGGTGGGAGGAAACCCGTAAAGAGCTTCGAAGGGAGACATCTGCAGGCTAAGGTGATAGTGGGTGTTGTAACACCACTCTGCTAATGTCAACCAGTCCGCCCTGGGAAGAAGATTTCTTGAGTAGCTGCTGGAATTCTCTTCCACTCATCATCTTGCACTGTCCCTCTTTAGAAAGCCCTTGGAGGGTAAGAGTGCCTCCCTTCCAATCAAAAGACAGTTGTCTCTTCTTTAAGTCCACTTGGAAAGGACTTACGGTCTCCAACCAATCCCATCCTAAGACCAAATCGTGAGAGGGTAATTCCAGAGTTCGCACATCAAAACCAAATTCCTGGCCCTGCATATTCCAGCGAAAACCTCTACACACTGAATTGCTAAGCAAGGTGTGGCCACTAGCCACCTTCACTCTCATAGGGGCAATGCTTTCAGTTTGGCAATTCAGTTCAACAGCCCTAATCGAATTCAGAAAGGTGTGTGAACTTCCAGTATCGATTAAGACAGTTACCTCTTTGTTCTTCGCAGTGGCAGGGATAAGCAAAGAATTCCCAGAAAAACCAGTCCCCATAGCTTGCAGAGAAACCTCGAGCTCGGCGTCCTGAAAATCATCATCTCCCTCATCCTCCTCGCTCGGCAATGGAGAATCATCACCCTGCATAAGCTGAAGGTGTTTCTTCTTGGCACAAGTATGGCCATGGAAATATTTGTCGCCGCATTTGTAGCAGAGACCTTGGCCACGCGGAACAGAAGGACGATCCGTCGAATGGGAAGCAGAAGATTGTGAGGCAGACTTGACTGTTCCGGAAGGAACAACCGCTGGCCATCGCTGAGAAGAAACTACACGACTCTTCTTTTTGCGCGCCTCAATGGCCGACTCTTCCAACCGAGCTTGGTAGAACGCACACGCTAGAGTTGGGGAATTGAGCACCTGCACGCGTGGCTGAATCTCTTCATCCAAGCCCCCCAAAAAACTGAGAATGAAGTAATGTTCATTCAGCTCTGGATTGAGACGCAGCATTCGTGATCGTAAATCCTCAAACTCCTCCTGATAGCGAGATACTGAACTGGTTTGACGGAGATGATTGAAAGCAGCTACCACATTCAGCTGCTCCTTGTTACCAAATCGATGAAGCAACTCCTCGACGAATTGCCCCCAAATCAACGGAAATCGCCTGAATGACCATCCATCGAACCAGGTGTGAGCTCGCCCTTCCAAATAATAGGAGACCAATTCCACTTTCTGATCTTCCGAGATAGAGTAGAGCTGGAAAAGCTTCATACACTTACTGACCCACACATGTGGATCTGAACCGGAGAAATAAGAAAAATCCAAACGGGGATAGTGATCCAGAATCGTCGATCGACGCTGTTGGTGACGAAATTGGTGAGGCTCGGCAAAGTGACCGGCGCTAGCGTGCGGCGGCGAACGAACCGGTGACTTCTCCTGCACTCGAGCGATGGAAGCCGCCAGAACGTCGATGCTATCCTTCGTCGACGCGGCCAGTGCGGCAATGGCGTCTTTTAATTCGTGATGTTGAGTATCTATCTGCGATCGAACCTCCGCCATTTGAGTCTCCAAATCCACAAGGCGAGAAGTGTGTGTCGCCATTGCTAGTTGCCAGAGTACAGGCTCTGATACCACTTGTAAAGGTCGTTGATCGGGATACTCCGGCGAACTGGAGATTGGGAGAGGAGGGAAGGTAGAAAATGGGAGCGAAGAAGAGAGTACTTTTATTGCTAAGCTAAAGAGTAAAGTGTTTACAGATAAGTTTTGGTAAAAAAGGTACCAATACAGTAGTCTCTCTCTCTATTTATTCCACTGAAGTGCCGTTTAGCACACGTCACTTGCCAGCTGGTCTCCAGTCCGTTACATTCCACCGCACACCGGTTTCTGTGTCTCAAATCTCCACTCCCTGGCCGTAAGGAGCGAGGACGCCTCAGATGTCCGCCACTTGTTCGACGAAAGTCCTCAGTAGGCAGGCTGCAACCGCCTGCTTTTCGAGCGCACAGGAATAATAAGACACTCCAATGTTCTGAGCCTCTTTGTGGGAATTCATCGTTCTGGTCTTCTTGTTAATGGATCGACCGTTTCTTGCGTGCTCAAACCTTTTGCATACTCGCTTTATCAAAATCTTGGTGTTCAGATTCATGCCCATTGTACCAAGTGTGGATTTTTGCTGCAGCAATGAAAACGGGTTTCAAACAACTTCACCCCGTTAGTATTCCATTATTTACCCAATAGGACTGCTGTTTGTTGGAATAGTGGTTGCTGGTACGTGTCACGACCCATTAATTAGAAACAAATAATTTTTTTTTGAAGGAATGCACTTGCCATGTCTTGGTTCTATTCAAATTGACCATAAGCTACAAACTCGAGCTGTTACATCTATCATAACTCCGACCTTAACCTTCTCCAGAAGACTTGGCATTCAAGAACAGTCTTTCACTCCTTCTCCCTCGACACATTTTAACACTCCGATCATCCTTAATCTTTCTAACAGGTGCGAAATCTCAGCAGCCTGCAATTACTCTTAGTTGCTCCCCTTGTTCTCAGAAACCCAAGCAGATTAGTTGCCAATTGCCACAGGACACCAGCAGATGATGCATTCCGATACCATGGAGACTACCATGGATCGGGTTATTTCTAATGTGATTTAGACGCCATTGGCGTCTGCTTTTTACCCAAAAAAAAAGATGATGCATTCCGACGTGTTTGCTTCGTACGACAGTGGCATATGATGGCAATGCTGCAGGCGAGCAGCAGAGCTGATGTCACTAGCGCCCGCTGTTTAATTGCGCTTCGAGCCAAAGACAAGTCTGAATAATTTGCTACAGAAAATGCATGAAATCTTTTTCAATACAAGCAAAATAAAACATTCACTGACTATACAAAAGAACCGAGGGACCTCAAATCCAATATGACCATGCTGAAAGTAAAGATGAAACAAATGCAAACACGTTCTAAAAGGATTCTTTGTACAATTTCATAGACTTCAATTCAACAACCCCCGACCTTTATAAGTATTCGGAGGTTAAAATTACACCAGGGAAGTCATGCCACCACCTTCCATATGGACAATGAGGTCGTATATAATTCATCATCAGCAGATTTTTTTAAGCAACAGAAGCAACAACTAAGACATACAAACTCATGTCGAGCAAAGCAATCTCAATACAGTAGTGCTTAGAGATCATAATTCCATTAACCTTCCTCCCCAAACTCCTTTGTGAATCTTTCGTGAACATCTAGATCAGATTTGCTCACTGTGGGCCTCTGTCTGGCAAGGACCTTGTCAAAATCGGTCTTCGAGATAGGGGGTGGAAGAATCTGCATTATGCAACAATCAAACCCGTTCAAGCACCATAAAAGAAGTAAATTATGAGCCTAGAAAACCATGCCATATTGAACAAACTGAAACAAGTTTTAAAATGCGAGGATTTGTGGGACTATACCTTTGCTGCTTCTCCTTTGGTTGCCAGATCCTGCATCGTGGTTTGCACTGCACCGGATTGCTTAGGTCCACATGGTACCCACATACCATTAGGCGTCTTAAAGAAATACATGGCGTCCTGGGTTTTACGAACAGGCTCAAACAGAACATCTTTAACCTGTTCCAGTTTAAAGCAATATACAATCACTTGAATCATCCATAGCA